AAGGGAAAAAAGGAGACAAGGAGCGAGCTTTTATGGAAGAGACTTGAGGCATAATATGGAATTATTTACAAGGAAACTTTTACCACTGTGGACTATATACATTCTCGGATTATTTGTCAAGTCTGCATGCGGATTACAAGGCACTCCAACATGGATGTAAGTTCACTCTGCTACACCAAATATCCTTCTCCTCCCACCCCAAGCCTGACAATAAAAAAATGACCAAAATTACAATAAGTCCGCGCGATCGTAAAAAAGAAGAGATCAGAGAAGAAGAAGTACATGGCATCAAACATAAATGTCTTAAGCATATTTCGCAATATGAAGCAGGAAGGAAATTGAGAGCCCATCTCCCACATTACTCAAGAAAAATCCCGATGACAAGAAAATTTTATTGTCTCTTCTGTGGTTCATCTATTTATGTGTCTTAGCTTCGCATAGTGCACACCAGATGAAAAAAATCACAAGAGACTCTCAGAGACGAATGAAAATGACAAGAGAAGTTTCTTTATAGTCTTATTCTTGTGTGTATACAGAAAAAGACATCATTTTTCATCAAGAAGTCCCAGATAAGAAAAGTTATTGCAATAAATTTGTTGGAATATTAAAAGAACATCCCAAGACTAACAAGGGGTTTCTCACTGTGGCTAAGCAATGAGTAAGAGAATTCTTCAGACTAATAAGCTTAATACCATCTTATGCCCCTTTTCCACCAACTTCAGCGCAATATTACTCTCTCAAGGATAAAAAGAAATCAACATACTTTATATTCATGTTGCAAAATGATTTGTGTAATGAATCTTTCTCGTTTGTCCATATAATGAAATATATCGCGCGGTTAATTCATTAAAATTTAACAGTGGAATTGATCGCGAGGAGGCATAAGAAAGGGAAACAGATGCGATATTCTACAGCTTTAACGCCTCCTTCAAGGTATATACAGTATTTTTATAGCCAAATCGATAAAATCTCTACTCTATTAACTCTTAATTAACATCCCAACTTGAAACTACTTGTCTTGAATATATCTATTCTCAATTTTATGTCTTTCACTCTTTTCCTCCTCACCTCGCCTTATGCAACTTTTTCCTTTGCCTCAATCATCTTCATTTCCAATCAAAGTATCACATTTTCCCTCGTCATCATATTGAAAACGTCAAACACAACTGTCTTGTTGTGAAGAATGTGAAGAACAAAAACCCCAAGAAACTTCAATTATGCACTTTCATACGGGATTTACCTATCCCACATGATAAGTATGAAGAAAGAGAAGCGACTCTACAGGAATTCACTTAATTATTCACCGGATATCCTCAATGTTGGGAGAATATAATTTATTTGCAAAATTTGTACTCACAATGAGAAATTCATTGTCTTACAACAGCGAGTTGAAAGGACGATAAGATAGTAAAGGGAAAATTAATAAAGATTGTGCAGTGAATGCGAATCTCCTTGCAGCACTGGCTCTGAAGGCAAAACATATAAATATAAATGGCAAGAGAATGGTGTGACAATGACAAAAGTGCAGCGCAGAGGAAGGAAGATGAAACCCATGGCATCGAAGGATTCCGCTGGGCGAAGCGTGTGATTTATAAAGATTTTCCGGAATCTTGACTAATTTAATGTACTTTGCTTCACAACCCTTACTTTCCTCCAATCCCTTACTTCCCTACCCCCAACGCCAAACATTGCTCACGAGGAAATTTGTATGGATTTCCCACCTTGGCAAATGTAAAACAAAGAAATCCGCACCGTTCCAACTTTCTCGCATATGCAATAAAAGAAAATTGTTGCTGGCAAGAGAGAAAAATTCCCCTATGATAAATCCCTAGCCGATTTATCGTCATAAAACTTGCTAAACTCTTCCTCGAAAGCTCTCCTTTTGTCGCTGTTGCACTCACCACAAATTTCCTCTTTTCTTGCCTCAAACACTTTTATCCGCCAGATTCACTTTTGAAATATGTATTTCTATGGAATAAAACGCCTCGTGTGATTCAAATTTCCACAGTGAAGAGGCAAAATGATGTAAGCCGAGAGGAAATATTGTCCATTTTTCTCTTCCTAACAACGAGGAGCGCCAAAAAATGTGAAAAATGGCACTTTTTATTCAATTTCCACCCCACAAACACACACAAATACACACAGTGAATCCCTGAGATTTTTCTCTCAAGTCTCACTCTGACTGGGAATAAAAAACCACAACCAAAAAGCCACGGAAAAACAAACAGACCACAAAAATATATGCTGAGAGAGAAACAGATAAAATCCACTTAATTTTATCAATTCACCTCATGGCGATTACAGTCCAACAGAGTGAAAGAAAAATTTTTGAGCTCTTTTTTCTCATGCCCAGAAAACCTACAAATACAACTTGCAGCGAGCGATTGAATTGAAAATGAATAATTCCAGATTAGGCAAGAATGAAAATTTAATTAAATTTACATTAACCGAATTCATTAAGATTACATGTTATTTTTCCCCTCTCTCCATGCGTCTTTTTATGCTAAATGGATTTTTGTGAAATCCCTTCATTGGAAAATCACTTTTATCCAACGTTTTGTCCAAGATTTCGGTCACAAAAAGGAAGCCATAGAAATTACTCAATTTTATTAATAGATGAACGAAATGGAATCAGCTTATTTTTGTGGCTACTCTGCGCGACTACAGGTGACCAAATAATCCATCAATCTTCAGAAGAACATGGGAATGAGTTCAAAATGGTCCAGACAACACTCAGAGAAATCCTCCCAAGGCAAGGATATATTGAACAGTGACTAATGTGAGGCGTGAGGGAAGATTGCAAACGCAATGCTGGACGGAGGGTGGGAAAAACTGTTGGGGAAATTTAAGGCGAAGGAAAAAGAGGGGTCGTCGTGTCGTGAAATCATGATCAGCTGTTGACTTTGATTGATCGGATTATGCCTGAAAATTATATTGCCAGAGATTTGTTTTCCCTCCCAGACATTCAACCCCGTAAGAAAAGTCCAAATTACTCCCATTTTGGCCCAATACACAATATTTCTCCCTCATCATCTTCATCTCCACTCCATCAGTGCGTCTTTTTTTCTGCGAAAAATTTTCACCATACACACACACACATTAACACACATAAAGGAATTGAGTGAATAAAGCTAAAAAGAAGCAAAATATAATAATAATATTTCTTTTGAGAGGCAGAACACCGAGGAAAAAAATCCGCTTTAATGTGCGCGCATTCATAAAATACACCACACGTTGAATTTAATCCAAATTGACAATTTAATTGCTATTCCATCGGGCCAAGCCGGGAGTGTATATACCAACAAACAATTACACCAAACTCGGGTGAGAAGTACCAATGAGGGAGTTTCACCATTCAATAAATTGCCCTTACCAGCATCCCTCTGTCTCATTCATTTCCCATTCTCAATCTCACTCTCGCGCACTCTTCCTTCTTCCATATTCCAATGTTCAGACTCATGGACATTTAATTAAGCGTGAGGTGCAAAATTTGCACAGAGGTGAAGGTGAAAAAAAGGCCGGACAGAAGTATTATTAAATTAATGAATGGCCTTTTTGACATTTTTGCACGATTCTCCATGTCCTGATTCAACCTTTTCCACTTTTTCTCCTTCTCCCTCTCTCTATCTCTGTCTCTCTTGTAACATTTTTATTAACTCCCTTTTATCTGTCCAATTCGCCTCTTAACACTTTAACATTTGTGCAACTTGTAAATGTTTATAGAGCTAATTTTGCATATTGCCACTTCTCACCTTTTCCACGTGAGAACTTCCTTCCCCTCTTTTCTGGTCACACAAACAAAAAAAATATGTATATAAATATAACAATAGCGAGGAAGAACATAAAAAAGCAACCTCTAATAGTGTAGTATTAGCTGTATAAAATCACCATTTGTGCCCAGAAGGGCGTCAACAAATCTCTGATTCAGCGGCAAGGTGTGAAGAATAAAGCGAGACAAAAGCCTTCAAAGTGTATAATAGAAACAAGAAAATTCCATCTCAGCCAAGAGGTAAAAGGATGAAATTTCAACATATATATATCCCTCCTTCCCTTTATACAATCTCAGGCTCAGGTGGGAAAGAGATACGAATAAAAAGGTGATTTTAACAAGCAGAATAAGTGTTATTGCCTCACATTTTGATACACGAAATAAGACGCATAAGAGCAACAAGAATGTTAAATCTCAATATTTTATCAGCACTCTTCCTTTTCTGCCTGTTTTTTAGCTTCTCTCATTCTTCCTTTTGAGCAAGCAAACCCCAAATTTTTTTTTACATAAAGTACACACCGAAAGAAGAGAACATGTTTTATGGATGGAAAAATAGCCATAAAAGAGCAATTAAAATTCAATTTCTGTATCAATTTCTTCCACCCGTTAAAATTCATCACACCTTGAGCAATTGCTGTAATCTTCATTGACACCTCCTCTTTAATTTCCTCCCGACAAACCAAGAGGAATTTACCAGTGAGATTACGATCGATTGAAATCGCTCCATGAAAAATGGTATTAATTAAATCCACTTGAATTGAGTGGAACTGGAATATAACAAAGAGCGCTCAATCGAAAATGGAAATACATTCCCAATTATTGAGCCACGAAGCAACAATTGAAGGGTTGATAAATCATTTTTTCGCCTTTAAAGCCCATTTTTCATCGCGACAATTGTGATTTTTCCTCCGTTTCACCTCTTTCTCTCCCTCTTTCTCTCTCTTTGACCACTGAGCGATTTTTACCATGGAAAGTAAATGGACAGAAATTGCAGGACGAATTTATAGTTCATTTATCGGTGCGAAAAAAGCGCGTTTTTTCCTCTACCATTCATTTTATGTTTGACACAATTTAGATGGATTGTCCAATTCACACTAACAGCGAAACTATACACATTTTAATTAAAAACAACAGCACGATTTTTGTCGCTCTCCCATTTTCCTGCCAATTTTTTTTCTCTCTCTTAATCAAAATTGGCAGATACATTGAGGCAAAAAAGTGTTGTTCCAAATTGGATTTCAATGAATTTATTTGTCCAAACTGATTCACTCTTAACTGAATAAGACTTTGATATCTATTTAATAAACATATAGAATTAATTTAATTATTCAGCCATAATAGTCGAATTGATTGGTTTCCATCGAAAATTGCTCCTTTGTTGCTTGCTGCACAGATAATAGAATACATGTACGCACATTTGTTCAACTGAATAAATTATTTAATTAGCCAACAACAATTATTGTTGATCTCAAAGCCACTTCTTCGTGGTTGAACAGTGAATCTTCGGACCAATAAATAATTACACACACACACAATTTCTGCACCATTTGAGACGCCTTTGAGGTGCCACAGATGAACCAATTCCTCTCTCTCTCATCACCGGATCTGACCAATTAGCGTCCATAAATTTCGAAAATGAAGTCAAAGCCCTCAGATCTCTGCGACTTGAAGCGAACAGCTGTGTGGTTGAATCCGACACCGCCAGCCCTGAGTGTTGCATATCCACCCTTTCCATTCACATATTGATCGTGTGCTATAATGCATGTGATTGTGCGGTTCCTTGCCTGGATATTCTGCAAATTAAATTCAATATACACATTTTAGTTTTGTGTCGCACCATTTAATCCACGAAATGGTTTCATAACGTCGTATTCCTCATTCTCATTTTAGCGGTTTTTCACCCCCGTGTTGTAGGAAAATTCAACAAACCCAAAACCAATATTTTCCCAATCTCAGTCCACATTATATCCACACTGGTCGGTGGTGTGTAATTTCTATGGGGGGATCAAAACATTGTGAAAAGTTTCTCCACTTCTTCTTCGCCCAGTGTGCCCTTTGATGAAAATCTTCCTCCCATCGTGTGGTTGGTTTTCAATATCAAAACTGCAAGTAATGCGAGACGACTCGGAAACACCATGATTTTGATTAATACTCGAGACGCCAGCATCAAATTAGACAATATTATCTCTCTTCCCAGCTCATGTGAGAAAATCATCAATTTGACACGCCAATTGAGGAATGTACAGCGATGAATCTCATAAATTTACAATGAAAGGGGGGAAACAACAAATCCAATACTCACTGTTGCATTTGGCCATGAGACTTCCTTGGTAACCGTTTGTAACCAGGACTTACTCTTCCTCACAAACTCACGATGAAGCAATTGGTCGTAGTGACTAACATTTCCCCACTGCATATGGTGACTCTGGGCATAGAGAACACCACAGAATGTCACCAAGACGATAAATCCGACTGCAATCTTCATTTTCTCAGTGCACAGCGCAAAGCCACTGTCCAATAAACTGTAAAATATTGAGTAAAATTCACAACTGAATCAGCTCAAAATATTCCGCACATATTTATACTTACATTTTCCTTCTCCACATCCTCCTTATCTTATCACACTTCCACCAGTTGTTCAAACAATTATTCACACCATGTTTTTGACATAGCGAACTTCTACTCTTTTTGCTCATCCAATTTGTCTCTTTTGCCTTTGGAGAAGCGCCTCACAGTTGATTGAGAGAGTGTGACGTAAATAGAAAAATCCCCATGTCGAGACATTGTTATTCTTCTCTACCTTTCTCAATGGTTTCCCTAAGAAAGTCATATCAATTTAATTATTTGTATTACTCTTCTATTGATCATGTCACATTTACAGCGACGAGACACTGACCGCTTTTCAGCGACACATGATGAATTAATCAATTGATCATCTCTAAGCACCAATCAATTCATACCTCTCAGAAACTTCAGAATCAATTTTCGTGATAACTATAAAAACCACTTGTTATATCTGTTCATAAATGAGTCGCAGACGTTTCAGATATATTGCGAAATAGAACTCACGTGGAAGAGAAAGTCTTGAAAAGGCATAGGTACATATATGAATCATCATTTTGTGCTCATTCTGATGTCATATTACAGTGAAAAGCTCTGACAATCTCTAATGGAGTGAGACAATTAAATGGAAGGGTTTTCAGAAGAGTGCACTTGAATGGTAGAATACAAAAAAAGCTGGGTGGATTTATTCCAATTAAACTGATAGTGAAAGAGACAGTTAAAACTTGAAACAAACTCATATTGAGAGAGCTAAAAGTTTCCTTAATCGTTAGAAAATCCTTCAGATGGATTGCACAGAAATTGTGAGTGCGTTGTTGTGTTGTCCAAAGACTTTTTGTTTTATAAGTAACAGAAGAGCTGCATATGATCCTGTACTAAATCTCTTTACAATCTCTTCCCCAAAGTTAATCCATTCACCTTATCAGGAACAATCGCCAAGACAACATGCAAGGATTGACACTGTAAAGTGCAAGAGATAGATTTATCATTCGCCCCGCAGTGACAAATTGCACAAATAGTGGCACTGTGATAAGAAAGACGACACCCTATGGGTAAATCGGATTAAGTCAATTCTCTCACAATGTTCTCCATGTCTTTTCAGTTGCTTGGGCCTCAAGTCACCATTCATCGAATTCAGAAGCGAATACGAGACACTGTCCAACATAAGTATCTCAATGAATTTAACCATTGACGAGAGCAATGGCGTGACACTGAATCGCAATATGGGCAGTAATCCATCACCGTCAACCAATGCCATCGACAATCTCCAAATATCCGCACAGAACACCGCTCTCCTGAGCAAGCAGCGTCTATTGACTCGCGTTGAGGTAATAACACCTTCACCACCAACATCGACACCATCAACATCACAATTGCTGGGCACCATTGAGCGAGCGTCGACAATTAAGACTGAATACATCACGAGTGCATCGATAAGTAATGTTTACGATCGCGAGATTCGTATAATTGAAGAAATTCCACCGGGCCGTGATCTAGCAGCGGGTGGTGATCAGCAGATGATGTCGGTGAATGATCGCAAATACATTATACCAATGGCATTGAGGCAGCAGCACAATACAAAGGAGCCGCGCAAAAGTTCCATCTTTCGTGATTCCGCCACAACAACCAATATTGATGATCTCAAGCGTCACATTGTGATGCTGCACAATCTCACCAAGCACGATCGCAATTTCAAGAGTAAATTCGTTCAATTTCCCTCCCTGAGGCGTCACAATGCAAATGACACGAGCACAAATGCCACAACAGAGAGATCACGAGATCAATTGAGAAACAGAACGCCAACTGCAAAGCCCGCTGACGAGATTAACCCCTTGCCAAAGACTCAAGACATTCTGCGCGACACTGACGAAGAGAGGGTGGATGATGGAGATCTTGAGACCATTCTCAATCACGAAAAGGTCACAATAGTCCCTCAAGTACTTCTACAAAATGATCAAACACCCATTACGGCCACTATTGAGAACAGTAGCAACACCCATGTTCGCATCAATCACGAAAATCTCATAATGACTACCACAAAACAGCCGCGAAAGAGCAATGAAGATGTCAAGAGAGGGAAGAAAGCAGGCAACAAGAAACGAAAGAAGAAGCAACCGAACAAGGTGTGCAAAGAAACTGACGATAAAGTCATTGGGAACTGCACTCTCGCCACAGCGTGGCGAAATCGAAAGGGTAGAAAGATGGCAAATAGAAATCAGCCAAACACTACAAGAGATGTCGTCGAACTTGAGGATGAGGATTTTGACGGTGAAAATGCAACGAAGAAACTCCAGAGAGTCCCGAGGAATCAACGGAGTCACTCAATTGAAAACCAACCAATAAATCCTCCAAATATTTACATTGAAACTGTCGACGTCAATCCGAGTCTATGCCATCAGGTGGGCGGTCTCAGCTATGGTCAGCAGAAGCTCTGTGTTCTTCACACCAACATCATGCCAGCCATCAGTCGTGGCGCTCGCTCAGCCATTCAGGTATGCATCCCCTATATCCATCCCAGCCACCCTCTGATGGGACCCATCTATTCCACCCCTTGCTGAATATTTTATACCCACAAATATGTTATTCAAAATACATCCCCATTCGTCTTACTCAAACCCAGACACACTAAAGTTACTCACCTCGACAATTCATTATTTATTTGTACATAAAACGAGAAAATTAAATGGGAATTTTCAAAAAGGGGACGACCAACCAGAGAGTGGAGCAAATTAAAGGAAAATATTATCTCATCATTTTCAACTAATTCATCTTTTCTAGGAATGTAAACATCAATTCAAGAATCGCAGGTGGAATTGTTCAACAGTTGATGACGACACTGTTTTTGGACCAATCACCAGCATCGGTATGTTTTGATTTTTCCAAATCTTGCATACATTTATTCATCAAACATCACATTAATGAAGATTTTCATGCAAAAATTTATCTTTGTGTATTCACTCCTTCTCACATTCCACTCAAATACAAAATGAACAAAAATTTCAGAGAGAAAAACTTCACCAAGAGGGATTTTCTTTTGCCGAAAATTTTTCCATCCCAACCAACTTTGCATCCCTTTGACCATTCTCAGGCATTATATTCACGCTTGAATGAGCCCGATGAATTCCCTTCTCGCTCACTCATTCTCCTCGCTTGCATATTTTAAATCAAAATACAATCTAAAATCATACACATATTTTCCATTCCGAAAAACCCTCGAGCGTGATATTACGGGCTATGTGTAGTAGCATAAGCAAGAACATGAATAAAAAGTTCACCCATAAGGAAAACACAACATACAATCTATCAGCATGTTGGGTGATTGATGACTTTTTAATTAACTAAAAATTCAAGAGAATCGAATTTTAATTCAAATTCTCCCTCTTTTCTGCAACTTGTTGTATTTTTAATTTTTTCTGCCTCCATCGCAGATCAGTATATAACTTTTTTCCCCTCCCGCCATGCCTCATAGTCTCTCTCTCAAGTCTGGGCATATGAGAAAAGTTTCTCTTTCACTCCGTCAGCTATACAACACAACCAGTTTTTAAAGTCTCAATATATATTGGCAAAAAAAGTGAAGCGCGCTTGGAAAGAAGGGGATGATGTAGAGAAACATCGACTGAAGGGGCGATTTAAGTACATTTTAATGAATGCAAAACTGTGACGTTGTAAAGTCTTGGCGATGGGAAGAAAAGAGGTTCATCATTTTATCAATTTGCGTACAATACGGCCAATCACCGAGGGGTCTCCTCTGTTCTACCACCCCTTTCTGCCTCATCCATTCAAATTCACTCTTCTCTCACGTTTTTCCGCATGAGAAACTCACTCGAGGCTCCGTGGGGTTTTTTCCACCATCAGATTCATTTTCAACTCTCTCTCTCTAGGCTCTCAGGATCATTTATTGGCACGATGAGAGACAAAAAAAAGTCCCAAGAGTAGCGTGAATCGAAGGGAAAACTACCCCTTGAGATATTTCACTTACGGGAGTAATGCGCAATTTACTCAGGGATTTACCACGATGATTTACCTAATTTGTATCAATGATAGAAATCAGTGGAAAATGTATTAGTTGGGGAGCATCCCCTCGAGAAAACGACCTACCACCGCATCGGATGGAATGGAATTTCCTACTGGAAAATTCAAATTCTTCACTCATGCGACAACACAGTGAGCAAATTCACAGAACGTGATCGGAAAATTACTGACATTACCCACAATATACACTCAAATGATTTCCTTTTAATAAAAAAAAACTCAAATCTACTGCCGACACTTTTCTGACCATCATCTGTAGTGTAAAGTTTTTGAAAAGCATAGGCAATAGCAATATATCGTGAGGGAAACAGTGGGAATAAAAACCAAAGTTTTCAAGGGACGCCGCCAGCCATTTAAAGACTCTCTCTCTCTCTTTCTCCCCCCTCTCGTCTTGTGCATAAATATAGCACGACCCAAGGGTTGTTTTTCGGTTTGAAATTCTCTCTAATTTGTTCCGGACGTATGGTTGAGGCACACACTAATGATTATATTGCCTCTCGTCTCTTATGCGGTAGGAATTTCAAGGGAATTTGTGACATTGAGGAGACACAAAATTTCATCTCTCCACACTTATTAACCTCTACCAACTCTCATATAATTTTCATGGGAGCACACAAAAAATCCCGCATGATTGTTGCGCACTTCTGGTCCAGAGGGACACGATGTCTTGTCTATTTTCCATTGTCCTGGCATCGCATATGCACAGAACTAATTTCAAAGTTATTGCCATCATGCACACAGAAAAACAGAGTCACTCTCGGGAGAATGTGTGTGTGTTTGTGTTAAGCAATAGTGGTGCACATTTTCCACTTCGTGAAACTCTCATTCAATTGAGATTTTATGTCCCAACTCAAATGACACTCACGAATGCACTATAATCCAAATAAAATCACACAATTTACACCACACAGTCATTATAGAGAGAGAGAGAATTATGCCATTTTTCACCCAATGATACACATAGTCATCCTGAAGAGATATTACATTGACCGACGTATTATCAGTAGCAAAAATTTTATTCACACATAAATCAAATTGAATGCAAATTTTTCACCATTCATTACATAACATACAATATTAATGCTAACCTCTCGAATTTTCCTGTCTCTCTGTGCGGAAAATATTTCATTTTAACCCCCAAAAAACAATGGAATTTTAACAAAAGCACCTACCATGAAAATTATTGATTCCAATTAATACACCTAATTATGCACAAATAATAATTTTCCCCAATTGACTTGACATTGCATGGAAAATTGCCCTCAATAAGGGTCATTTTGCATGGAAAATCGTCCGCACAATTTTGTCGTTAAGACGCAAGTTGGGGTCCAGGAATAAATTAAAGCGTGATAGCATTAATTGATGCCTAATCTGAGCATGGAGAATTTAGTATGATCCTCACATAGAGGAGGGATGATATCGTCTGTGAAAATTGTCTCCTACTCTTCTCCGGTAACAATGGCATAAAAGTCTCTTTTCTCTCTGTAACAAAAGTCTCATGGTATATAAACGTTGATCTTCTTACAAGAACACACATTGGAGTAAATTCCCGTGAAATCCCTCTTCTCAACTTTCCTCTTGAATAATCACACACCTGAAAATTTAACCATTCCATTCAGGTGACCTTCTCGCTCTTCTACACTGTTTCCACTCTCAGGCATCGCAATGGGTAAATACAGTACACAACATAGCCAAGGAATCCCTACGCTCCTTTTGACTTACAAATGAAATAAATGTAAATCCCTTTACAAACTTTCATGCCATTATTTTTGCTCCTGTGCCCGAAGAATTCCACTCTGTCTCTCTTGCCCTTTTGCCTCATGTTTTTTGCACCGTTTAACACTCTTTTTGTGTGAAACTTTTCACAGTTGCGACAAGCAAAGAGGCAGTGTGTCTTATTAAAAATTTATATTAATCACAGAGATTGACTGTGAAACGAGGAGCAAAGAATGAAGGAAATCCACACGTGACGGAAAACTTTTGCGAAGAGCATGCAAATATGTGAAAAGTCTGAAAACGCGGAGGCGGCGAACATTTCCATTTCGATTGCTTCTCCCAGTTTCTACTGCGTATTTTTTGAGGGTGTGAGAGATAAATTCTACATTTTGTGAAGAGCTTTGTATGCATTTCTGACAAAACACAGAAAAAAAATGACATGACAATGGGAAAATAGTAAGAGTCAAATAAATCCTTATGCACAAAATACAACAGACAGAAAACTTTTGATCGCTCCAAACTCACAAATTCTTTCGCCCTCTTCACATTTGCTCTTCCGCACTGAATGTTCTTTTCACATATCAAAACACGATTATTTTATTTATCCTGCACTCTCTCATGCTACAAATATAAGAACATAAGCCAATTCTATATTTTTCTCTCATCATTGGAACCAGCAAAAAAAAATGACATACAAAATCCACTTGAATAAATTTAATCTTCCGCAAAATTCAGCGTCAGAAAAATATATAATAACATATACTATTCATGGAATATTCTGTATCTCCTTCGAGGGCCCAAATCTCATAAAGCAATCTTCCCATTGTTGCGAGTATGAGCGAAATAATACTTTATTATAACCACCGCACAGCTAACAGTGCAATAAAATTTAATTATTGTATAAAATATATTGCATAATGATATTAAAATAGAGTGGAATTTGTCTGAAAAGGAGCATCCAAAATAATATTACAATGAAGCATCGCCTCTTATATGGTGCTCCATACACCGAAATCCAACCATGAAATTTATCCATATTACATACACGAATTTCAACCATTTTCCCATCAAACAAACCCCCCTTTTTCACCCACTCACCTCAGAAATACATATACTTCACAGTATAACCACGAATAACACCCCCACTTCACTTTCCTATCTCACACAGAATAATAGCGGAGCGATATTTTCTCATTGAGTGAAGCTATTGCACGGCGTACAAGCGTCGAAAGATTGATCCATAAGCGCAACATATGCCCAATAAAACGATGATGGGAAATATTTTCACCGAAACTTTACTCCATTCTGTGCAAGTGCGAAAATTGAGAAACTTCCTCCTACTCGAGAACTAATTTTCGAACTAAACTACATCTTATCTCCATTCACTTTTTGCCACTCATTATTAATTGCTTGGTGAACTTGAGTTCTTTCACTTCAACATATATATTTTTCATCATTGAATGCATATTTAATAAGAAAGATATCTTTTACAGAAGGCACTTTAGACGAGAATTCTTGATACACTCAGTTAAAGACTCTAAATAATAAATGAAGACTTTGTAAAATATTAAATAACATGTATTTCGTAAAATCTCAAACGGATGTTGAGTAAAGAAGAAATCTAATGGAAATTTTCTCCCATGCAAAACATGCAACAATGTTGGCAATTAATACCAATTACAAGTTGAATTTCGTACAAATTCGCCATGTTCAACCATCAGAGATGTCTTTCACTCTATCTCTAATTTCTCCTGTTATAAGGCAAATTATATACACACTCTGTGTTCAGACTGCGAGAGACATTCTGCAGTTGCTGATACTCCTTCATGTGAAAAGTTAAGCAGATTTCTGTATACCAACAAATTTCCCCCCGAAAATTTTCCACAATATCAAACATCTTGTGCAAGACTCCGACAACAATATCCATTCTCCCTCGCCTTAGTCAGAACTTGTCTCTGGTCTGGGGGGTGTTAAGTCAAAATCTTCAATGTGTAAATTGCTTTGAGAGAGGCAACATTCAGTGGATACATATTCAAAATTACCCAAACAACTCTCTAGAAAATTAATTTAAATCCGCACTCAGAACAGACAGAATGAGAGAGAGAGTAGTGATGATAGAGGAGAGTGAATATTAATTATTTCCACAATTATTGTTTTAATGTCTATCCCTTACCAGACACAGAGACACATTTTCATCTCAAGTACTGCTGATGTCTTCCCATATTGTACCATCTCTCTCACCCACAGGATCCCCCGAAATGGCATTTATTCATGCTCTGGCTGCGGCCGGGGTGGCAAGTTTTATCGCCCGGGCTTGCCGAGATGGTCAATTGGCGTCATGTGGCTGCTCACGAAGCTCCAGACCCAAACAACTCCACCGAGATTGGACTTGGGGCGGATGTGGAGACGATTTAGAATTTGGTTACAAGTGAGTATTGAATTTTTCTACACAAGCCACACAATCTCCTCAACAATACAGATGATATTCTCCAATTTCAACCGGAAGGAGAGCTCAGGAGATATTTTTTATAGTCCATCCTTCGGTGTTCTGTTGCAATATATATATGATGATGGCATTTTTAGCCAAATTGCCCAGAAACAGAGGCACTGAAATAAAACTAAACACCAAAGAGAGAAAAGATCTATAAAAGACAGAAGATGGAAATTATATGCCCAATTGAAGGCCTCTTGAGTGTGTCAAGTGCAGAAAATGCACGAATCTGCAGGAAAATGATTCTTATTTTATTTCATCCACTTCTCCATCATCAAATTTATTCACCCTCTCGCGCATTTATACCGAAATTTCCCTTCGCCTCTCTGCTGCGTATTTCAATCACTTCCCCGAATTGATAGATGAATTTATCATTTTTCTTGCTAAAACAATCATGCGGGCGAGTTATGATAAAATTCACACCTCACTGAAAATTTACTCCCTTTTTTCCACCCATTTGCACACACACACAACAAATGCCTAACAATTCATACCTAATCGAGAATTTGATGAGTTTGATTGGGAAATTCAGAAGAGACAACAAGCGAAACATGAACCCTTCTCTCCTCATGGATCTCTTTCGGGCAAAAGCCACAGAGACAAGCATTGAAATCTCAACAGACCACTTATCTTGTTAGTACTGTTTGGTTGCTTCCGAAACTGCTCTTCACCCTCACCCTTTCGCTCTCGCTCGCTCTCTCTTGCCATGGGTTTTTGGCGTTATTCAAACATACCCAAAAACACACCGCCAGGCACCACAAGTAAGGAGGAAATTCCATCATCCGCCCACCCCCACCCACACAGACGCAGCGGATGAAGAGCGCGAGCAGGACGGAGATGCCCCAACACATGCGTCGTCATTCACAGCTTTCCTTGAATCTGTTTTCCACACACCAGGCGCCCAAAAATTCCACACCATCCACGGGGGAAAAGTTGGTGGAAAACTCCGTCGGAAATGTATTGATTTCGCTTGTTGCCCCAGCAAAGCAACCCAACGGGGAAACCCTCGAACGCACGCATACACACACCACTCTCGCCGTGTGTTCGGATGCGATAAGCTTTTCACCACACCGCGAGGCGGACGCACTTTGTGTGAAAACCCTCGCACCCACACACACGCACTCTTACCCAACATTTTCCGACTCAACATCAAAGAGTGGTATATTTTCTGGATTGCACAGTATCAGGCGACCATAGGAAAAGCCACACATTGCTGAGCTCCCCGAAAATTCCATACCTCGCCACGTCATTGCTATATATTTTTCAACTGATGACGCCACAGATGAAAGTTCCACCTTTTCCCCTGCGTCACATCGACGGGGCTTTGAGGAAAAATCCTCAAAAGTGAATTTAATCCATTGGGCCAGTAAACAGTTTTTTTTTCTTTTATATTCCACAAATTCACTGCAATTTTCCCTTAAGCGTGAGAATTAATATCCCCACTGATTTTGGGATAAATCCAACTTTTCATATCCACCGATATGAGGAAAACAGAAGGGAAATCCTTACGCTAGTCCTGCTAAGAAAATCCTCCGCACACTCTCACGCTCTCTCTCTCTCTCACTCACATTCTCTGGCTTGCAGATTTTCTCAGACATTCATTGATATACGTGAAAAGGAGAAGAAACGTGGACCACGTGGATTAATGACACTCCCACAGCGAATCAACAAGATAGAAGAGAAAATTTCCCCTGAAATTGCCAACGACACTGAGCATCAACCCCAACCATTGTTCAAGCCAGAAGACATCAAGGAGTTGCAGGAGAAAATCAAGAAGGAAATTGAGGATTCAAAGCTGCAAGAGAAGGAAATGCATGAACTTCAGGTTCGATAGAGATTTGTCTTGGTCTCTCTTCTTCTCCCCATTAAAAAAAAAAACACCCAGAATTCAATGACAAACTTTTCTTCTCAGGAAAAAATCAACCGTGAAATTTTCAACTCCAAAATCTTCAATCTGGAAAACAGGGCAATGTTTGTCAACAATCGGAGGCAAAAAGGCGCTCTGAGTCGCATCAAGTTGTCCGGCACGGCACTGAAGGCCAGGAGTCTCATGAATCTGCACAACAACGAAGTGGGAAGGAGGGTGAGTTGATAAAAATGATGCGATTACATGCAATAAATTGATTCCCACGCCTCCGTGCCATCGTGTTGCCAGCAATAATAGAGAGTTGAGATGCAAAGGAGCACCCCTATAGAGAGAAACCGTGCTGATTACTGGCGCAACTCCTATCGTAATTCATTTTGCGAGATGAGAGGCGCATAATAAAAGTTCAATTAACTCTCGCCTCTCCGATATCGATAAGTTAAATCTGTCTAAATATCGATTATAATCCCCAATATCTTCCTCCAAGAGTCTCAAACGAGAAATATATGGACAGAGAGACGCGCCAAGTGCCAATAAATTGCCCCATAGATGAAATCTTAATTAATTCACTCACCTCTTTTGCAATTTGTAGGCCGTCATCAAGAAGTCGCGCATCACATGCAAATGCCACGGCGTTTCCGGCAGTTGCAGTCTCATCACGTGCTGGCAGCAATTGTCCTCAATGCGTGAAATAGGTAATTACTCCGCCGGTGGGAATTAATCAGTGACCAGTGATGAATGATGGGCACGTCTTGCAGGGAATTACCTCAGAGAGAAGTACGACGAGGCCACGAGGGTGAAAATGAACAAGCGGGGACGTCTTCAGGTGCACGATTCGCGCTTCAAAGTGCCCACAGCACTGGATCTGGTCTACCTGGACGAGAGCCCAGACTGGTGTCGCAACAGCAAGCAACTCCAGTGGCAGGGTGCGCATCCTGATCTCCCCTTCTCATGCAGAGAGTCTCATGCATCTTTCTGGCTTTTCCAGGCACCCACGGACGCGTGTGCAACAAGACATCCTCGGGATTGGACAGCTGCTCCATTCTCTGCTGCGGAAGAGGCTACAACACCAAGAAGATCGTCGTCCGGGAGCGATGCAACTGCAAGTTCCAGTGGTGTTGCCACGTCAAGTGCGACGTGTGTGTCAAGGTGATAGAGGAGTTCACCTGCAAATAGACACTCCATTATCATCCGGAACACACCAAGCCATCACCGCCGCCATTTGCCGGCGAGACTTTATCCCCCTTTTTACCCCATAATTCTACTGCCATTCTCGTGAACTCCACCCCCCATCGCTACATCATAGTTGATACTATTTATTTATTGTAATTTTATCGCTCCATAAGTATTTAATGTAGTGGAAAACGTGAAAATAAATCTTACCCGAGTAGCTCCATATCATTGCGCAATGTTACACACCACAAAAATGGTTGCCACCGCGGCGCACGATCAGCGTGAGGCGAATTGTGGCGAGTGGCCAATTGCTTCAGTGCTCCGCCACAGATGTCGCGCACGGCTGACAGGCAGAAAAACAGTGACGTCAAAAACATGGTCGACAGACTCGGTAGGAATTTTTCTTTACTCATAAAAATCCAAAAATCCTGTAGAAATTCTGCCAAAACTGTGTGTAGCTAGAGTGGAAATCGTGGATGGGATGGTGGAGAAGTGGTGTGTGTCGGAATTGCGGTGGAAATGGCATTGAAAGTGGGCGAAATGGTGTGTTCTATTTTGCGCCTCTGCCCAACCTCAAGTGTCTCTTCGGCCAGGGTCAGAATGTCTCTGGCGGAGCGCGAGGGGGGCACCCGCAATGTGATTCCTCTGCAGAACAACACTGCGGAACAATAGGCATGAATTGTCGGAGACAGGTGGTCATTTGGTGGGTGGAATGCGTGCCTATTGCCGTGCAGTGGCTTCATTTCGATGGTTTCTGGGTGTCCGGGGAGGTGAAAGTGGCCCCAAAGTGCCCCCAAGCGCTGCCCGAAGTGCCCCAGAGGTCGTCCGTGACATCTGCGATTGCCTGGAAACAGTGGCGACGCGAGGGGTTGCAGTTGACTGGAATGATGGTGATAAAGAATTGTTGAGAAATGGGAATGAATCACCCGCCTTTTGGCTGACTAATGTGGCGAGAGAGAGAGTGGTAATCGCGGGAATGGGAAGCGGAATCCTGATGCGGAAGGGCTCAAGGCTCACCACTTTTCCACTTTATCTCATCTGTGCACAGTTGCATTGGCGCGTAGAAAAACAATCCCCGTGGAGAGGCTTTCTTTGTGGCAGCCAAGAGAATAGAGGAGAAAGTTTCTCCGGAGTGAGCTTGTAATTCAATTAACGTTGGCTTTTTTTTGTGTTGTCTGAAATTGTCTTGCAGTGAACAGTGAGGCCAATGCCAGGCGAATAGCCATGGTGGAGAGCTGCTTCGGCAGCTCAGGACAGCCTCTGGCCATCCCGGGGCGCGTCCTGGTCGGCGAGGGTGTCCTCACGAAGATGTGCCGCAAGAGGGCAAAGTCCAGGCAATTCTTCCTCTTCAACGACATCCTTGTGTACGGGAATATTGTGATTGGAAAGAAGAAATACAACAAACAGCATATTATCCCTCTAGAGGAGGTGCAACTTCAGGGACTCGAAGACAATGCACGTGAGTTGTGATGGGATTTTATCTATAGCAATGCCCATTTTGAGTTAATCACGAGACTCCATCGCAGCTGGCGGTGAATTGTTGATGAACTCTTTGCCCGTTACATTCTTTTCTAATGAATTCCACGTGAAGCTTTGGAGATTGTGAGTGGAAAATAGAGAACTGGGTCAATTTACGTCTATAGAATTGTTGACAAATTGTTTACAAATGCTGACAAATACTGATAAAGTGTGATAAAATATCTCATGAGAGTCTTTTTGAGACTAACTAGTAAATTAACTTCTTGAAATATCTTTGCAAATGTGGCAGTTTTTAAAAAAAATCTCTTTAATGCAATGCAATGTGAGAGAAAGATTCTAACCAATTTCACTAATCAATGAGAAGTATGCAAATTTCTCATCATTAATATTATTATTACGATAAATGAACGGAATGTTCTACGGTTAGTAAATAGTTATTTCCCTTAATTGCTTGAACGAGAAAGTCATAAAATATCTCGGAAAACCACTTTTTTCTCACTTGTGTGTACCTCAAAAGTGCTATTTTTACTGCAAATCTGACGCGGCGAGAGCGTTTTATGAAATTGCCACTGAAGAAGATTGTAAGCAAACACAGTTTGGCGCAAGATAGTCGTGGTGATAATGATTCATTTCCTCCTCATCTTGGCGGAAATATTCTTCTCAAACTCCTTATCCTCTCAATCTCATGCTGTTGTTGCAGAATATCAGAATGGATGGCTAATTAGGACCACAACAAAATCATTTGCCGTGTACGCGGCCACCAGCACGGAGAAGCAGGAGTGGATGGCGCACATTAATAAGTGCATCGACGATCTTCTCCGTAAGAGTGAGTGTTGTGCGATGTGGCGGAGCGTAACGTTGTGATATATAAGGGGGAGAGAAGTCACACACAATGCTTGTCTCTTTTGCAGGTGGCAAGAAGCCAGTGGTGAATCATGCTGCCGTTTGGGTGCCGGACAATGAGGCGGCGATCTGCATGCACTGCAAGAAGACCCAATTCACTATGATCGTGCGAAGGGTGAGTATATCAATTGCATATACGGAAAATAAGATTAACATCTTCCCTATCGCTTCAGCATCACTGTAGGAATTGTGGAGCTGTGGTGTGCGGTCCGTGCTCCTCGAAGAAGTTCCTGCTGCCACACCAGAGCTCAAAGCCGGTGCGTGTGTGCCTGTACTGCTATGACACGCTGAGCCACACGAAGACAGAGCAGATAAAGGGCGCCACGGCCCCCAATGCCGGTCCAAATGCTGCCGCCAATGCCAAGTCCAATAACAACACTCAAGACAGCTCCGCCGAGGATGATTCTGACGATGATGAGGAGCAGAAGGAGACACACGATGAGGTGAGTTTGAGCCTCTCTGTGTGTGTGTGTTTTGATGGGAAAGCGTGAGAGCGAGTCATTGTTTTAATATGTATTATTGGCGTGGGAGAGGAAATGATGGGAAAAGCGTTCTGCAAGGTTGATTTTTCACCTCACTTTGCATTCTCTTCTTCTGTGTTGCAGCCAAAATTCTACGGCGACGGTGACAAAGGTGATGAGAAGTGAATCTAGGCGACACACCCGAAAGGCTCCCCGGGGAAAATCGTCCCGAGAATTGGGCTTTGGACAGAGCAACCAAAATCTTTCTTTCAGTTGTAATTTTTTTGTGGTTTATCCATTATTTTTCACTTGATGCGCGCGTCTCAGTGGAGGGATTGTAGTAGAGAAAGAATAATAATAATATTTTATACACATTAGTAATGAGGCGAGAGAAGAAATCGCTAGTAATGAAGTTCCAGGAAAACAAAAATGTCCAAAAGTCTCTAAATTATTTGTTGCGGTTTCAGAGTTGAGAATAGAGGAGGGGAAAAAATATGATAAGAGATGAAAGAAAACGTGAAGATAGTGTTTTAAAAGGTAAACTTATTGTATTTCTTATTGATATATGAGGAAAAAAAAGAGGTGAAACACAACTCTTAAAATATTGTTGCAATTATTATTCATAGAAGATGAGATTGAAGGATGAAGCAAAATTATAGAATAAGATGCACCCTTCTTTGATAAATGAACAAGAAAATGAAACATTTTTCCCTTTACCGCTCAATTTTAAAATAAAGATGAAAAAACATTTCTAATCCCCACACGAGAATATCGATTTATAGTTAATATTTTTAAAATAAAAAAAAAACAAGTTATAATTTAATTTGCCTTTTTTTGGTTGAATCCTCCGAAGGAGCTCTTAGTTGAGGTTAGAGAAAAGTAATATTTTTTAGCTTATAAAAAAAAGAGAGTGTTTTAGTTTTCAACAAACCCGTATCTGATGGCATAAATCGGATTTTGTAAAATGTAGCATACATTAAAAAAAAGTGAGAAATAAAGAGGATATTTTCTATTAAAAAAGAACACGTTTTATTTTTTTCTTTGCAAACTATTTATTCTTTTAATTTATGGCAAGTGTAACATATTTACCTATTGTAGTTAATGCTAAAATCTACAATTTTTCCGAGTGTTTGCAAGCATTTTGAAAAAGAAATTGTAGAAAATGTGATGCTTCTTTCCATTTCTTATTAACCACATTTAACAATTGGGTCATTTTTTCATTCATTCTGTAAGAATTTTCTTTGGTTTCTATTTTTGCTCTTCTCTTTTTTTTCTTATCCATTTTGTATCATCTTTTTTTCCTTTTGATTTTTTCTGTGTTATTGTCGTTCTTTTTTGCGTGCTCTCAACTTTCTTCTGAGTGTTTTTTTTCTCTCTCTCTCGCGTTTTTCTTCTTTATAAAATAATTTGTACAAACTATTTCTATAAATGTTTCATTGTAATAGAAAAAATGACAAATGTTACTTTCTCTCTCTCTCTCTTGTTTTATAAATATGTCCTATGTGTTACTTGGAAAAATCTAAGCCAGTGTAGTTTTACATCTACTTGATCTCGAATTTCTTATCATCTGCGCCTGTTTATACCATTAAACAGTAAAAGAAATTGATATAAAAAATGTTACAACAACTCCTAATTATGCTCAAATGTTTTTACTCAGCACTAAAAACATTACAAAAAGAAAACCGCGAAGTTTCTCCTTTAGAAATAAACTTCCACAATTCCTACCAGAAAAGCCAAAGAAAAAAGTGTTAAGATAAAACATTTTGTACATTATTTTACAATTTAAAAAGTTAAATCTTTTTTTTTTAAATCTTTCCTCATTCCACAAAGATTCTATTTATCAAATATATATAAATTATATATTTCCTGGCCACGTCACTGAGGATGACCTGAAAATCATAAGATAAAATCCAATTGAGTCAATCACACTTTTCACCATGTGAGAAAAGCCATCAAACTCACCACTTAAATCACTCATCTTCATCTTGGATGGATTTCGATAAACTGGGATGCCAATCGATGAACTCTGGAGGCGTCTCACCTTCGCATCAGATGGCTTAAAGACATGCTGGTGCTGCTGGAAATTCTGCTGCCCACCTAAAAAGAATCCCATGAGGCATTCCACTCTTAACCATCTCTCTTCAACACACTCATCAAATCAAAAACTAAAGACACGATGAAAGAGCTAAGATAAATCAATATAAAATGTTTTCTTGAGAAGAAGAGCGCTTCTCCTTCGCAATCAACCATTGAAAATAGTACTTCTGAACTCCTGATGCTGATGATGTTGATGATGATGATGGCCCAGCTGACTCTCCATTCCATCCACCATTGGCGAAATCATCGAGTCTGGCTCTGAACTCGACACGCACTGCACCTGAAATTGAGAAACCATATTTTTTTTTATGTTCAGAAAATATTGCATAATTAGATATGTGACGCTTGAAATGATCCGCCACTCTTTATCTCTGAATACCAGAAAAAGCTCTCACAGATAAAGAAAAAAAAACAGACCATTTACAGCAAACATTTGATTACCAAATGACTCAGTGAGCGACTGAATGCCAATGATAATCTAATTTGTATGCTCAGCAGCACGTGCAATCCATAATTGACTCACCATGTTGCTGTCACTCTCCACACTGCGCTCGCTGGCCGGACGATCGGGACTCTGCGGGCTGTAGGTGGTGGTGTCGGGAGGCGAGGAGGTGCCCTGCAGCGCCTGGTGTTGCTCCTCCATATCCATGGACTGCTTCTGCCCATTGGCGCCCAGCAGTGTCGTCTGCTGCTGAACAATCGTTGTATTCTGCTGCACGAATGTCTGATTCTGACTCGTTTGCGGCACCATGAGCCCCATCGTACCAGCCGCTGGGGTGCTGTAAATCTGTCCCAGAGGACTCACCTGCCCATTGCCAGACACTATAAACTGCTGTGCAGCAGAATTGGGACTGAGGAAGGCCTTTCCACCCTGCGGACTTGGCGCCCGCAAGACCATCTGTTGTGGTGGCGTGATGAGATTCTGCGGCATGTTTTGGATCTGAAGGAGCGTCTCTGTGGGCGCCGGCGTCACCACCAGACCCGCCGGCACGAGCAGTTGCTGCCCAATGAGATTCACCGGTTGCAGAATTGTCTGCCCATTCTGATGGACAATGATCTGCTGCTGGGGCGCCGGGGCACTTGTCGTGGCACCCTTTCCAGCCGGCACAATGGTGAGTTGCGATAGCTGACCACCAATCTGATACGGCGGCTGCTGAGCGGCCGTATAGTGTGGCGCCCCCACCATCTGCAACTGCGGCGAAATCTGCGGTGAGACATTCTGTGGACTACTCATACTCTTCCTCTTCTTCACCTTCCGCTTCACCTCTGACGGCGACAGCAGCACCGTCCGCTGCTGCAGATACGTCGTGGCCCCAGTCGTATCCACCACGCCCCCATCCAGCGCCACAGTGGACGTGGCGAAGTTCTGTGCCGGCTGCTGCACCACAAAGCCACTAGGCAGCGTGTTCAGCACCATTGTGCCATTGTTTATCAGCTGATTCACACTTCCACCATTCTGGATGACCTTCCCCGTGGCCGGTGACATCCCGCCCGCGGGTATCATATTAGAATTGTTCAAGATCACCGACTGCACCTGGCCAGCCGTGCCGGAATTCACAATAAACGAATTTCCAGCATTCGAGATGATATTCTGTCCGGCTGGAATGAGATTCTGTCCACCCTGAATCACCACATTACCCGTCGTCCTGGTCGACGTCTGCTCCTGCCCATTGACAATCTCAATATTCCCCGACAGCAGACTCCCATTGACTATCTGCTGTCCCGTGTTCACCACATGAGGATTGTTTATCACCACTTTGGGGGCGCTCTGCTGCCCACCCTGATTTGTCGGCATCACCAAAAACTGCCCCGAAGACGTCATGATTAACTGATTCTGCTGAATTTGCCCTCCAGCATAGCTTTGACCAGGTGCTGTGCTGATAAACTGCGGAGCCGTTGTCTCCAGACGACCCACTTGACTCGTACACGTCGTCGTGGCAGCTTTTCCCGCCAACACCGACGTTATCGTGTTCTTGGCCACTGTGTGACCCGAGGCAACAGCACGAGGATACAATTCTGGTGAAGAACTACTGGGCATATCATTGCTAGTGGTTATCATTCCACCCTGGACGGGTTGTCTTAGTTCCGACGGTGATGTTCCAGTGTTCTCACTCCCATAAAATGCCGTACTCGATGACACTGGACTCTCCTGACTGGCAGCACAGATCAGTGTCTCCTTCCTCACCATCTTCCCGAGACTCCCATCGGCAGTATTCTGGTGAATTTGCACCATTCCATTGGGCAAATGCGTCACCGTTTGTCCTGGGATTTGATCATTTATCACGATCTTCTGGCCAGACTGCTGAATCATCATCTGACCATCCATCTGGATCATCTGTGGCACTTGCTGCCTCACAATTTGCCTCTTTAGCGTCGTCTGAGGCTCCGGAATCTCCTCTTGCTGCGCATCAAACTGACTCAAATCAGGACTGTGCACATTCAAGATGGAACTGTGCAGAATTGCTGTCTGATGATCGAGATATCCTGTGGGATCGTCCTTGAAGTTGGGCCTCTTCTTCGCCGCAGACGCATTCGCCACATTCCTGGTGCGCTGCAATCGCTTCTCCTCCTGCCACGGCGGCTGATTATTATCTCTCTGTTGCGGATGCAATGGTGGAACTCTCTCAAATTCCTGATTCACCGGGGCTGATTTGCGCCACGGAGGCGCTCTAGACAGTGTCAAATTGGACAACTTGTTGTCCATGGGAAAAGATCCACTCACGCCCTGATAGTGTGTCTTCACATCCACCTCCTGTCGCAAACGAGCCTGATGAAGACAAGCGCCAGGAATCCGAGGCATCGTCTCCAGATGACACTGCGACTTGGGGTCAAAGTTGAAGTACAAGTCAGGACGTAAAGGACATGGCAGACCACATTTACACGTGCCTGGCCGCAAGAGGTATTCTTTCACCTGTTCAATGGATTTAAGCGCTTCTCCGCTGGGACTGGAAATGGAGTAAAGAAAAAGAAAAAAAAGATTCATTAGCAAGACATTAACGAAAATCTCCGACTCAATTAGCATGATATTTAAAAAAAAAGTTATTTCTGCAACTTCCATAATCCAATCAGTGTCTAATCGTCTGATAAGTGTGGTTGTCTAATAGGATTCTCAGAAAACAAATCCAATTGGGAAAATTCCCCAATTGCGCAAGTTTCCATGCATAATGTCCGTTTTTTTGACTCCCTCCGGAGAGAGAAGATGCAGATTGAATGTGTTTAGGGCAAAATACCCTCAAGAATTGACTTTCTTCGGAGATTTATGCTCTCCCTTTTCCGTCCTGCACAGCAGGCCAACAAAAGGCGAACATCTGTAAATCATGGACGGCAGGTAGAGATGGTATTGTTTCTCAGAAAGATGTTGCGTTAAAGGGACGACCCTCTGGATGTTGCGTCAAAGAAGAGATTTCGACATTATGTGTGTACCTCACGTAGATGATGTCGCCGCTCGTGATGAGACGCACCCAGGTTGGTGAGGGATCCTGGGTCTGGGAATGACAATGGATCTGGCGTTGCAGCATTTGGCCCTTTCCGGGGGCGCCTCCACTACCGGTCAGGGGCCCTCCTTGGCCCTTTACACCCGCACTGGCTGCAGCCATAAGACAATCTCTCAGACTTGCTGGAGTCTCCCTGCAAAGAGAAGCACAAGCCCGAAAAATATGTAATAACTCGCTGCCACTGCAATCGATAATTATATGGTGAGGGTGTGGGATTATAGGTCAGTTTGCCGCATTGTCTTGACAGCGTGAAGACCACACGGAGTGCGTGAGACGAGAGACAACACCTTTATGGCCAGAGAATCCTTCAGGGTCACTCTCCCTGACCACAAAACCGATTACCACGGGCCTTTCTTCTTCCGGGCCCATCGTAAAGTCATAAACGCATAAAAGTCCCTCATTAGCGCCAACAATGCTGGGTGAAAAGCGATAAACAGGGGCTGAATGAGTGCAATTGGGCAATTTTGCGTGGAGAAAGAGGAGGCAAAAGGGAAAAAGAGGCAAAAAACCAACCTGCTCTGTTTTCGCGTTAGGAAAACATTTTTTCACACGCCAACACCTCGCTATAGAGCAACACTGGGTACAGTTTTGCGATTGCCCCTTCTTGCACGGACTCTCGAGCTCACGATGGCGATGGGAAATCCAGCGAAAACACACCACACAATTGACAAAATGACAAAAAATTTTACAATCACTCCAGAAAAGTACAAACTTTACACGGCCATCTTGGAATCTGGCGCAGTGACGCCAACTGCGGCGCTTTGCCGCCGTTCGCCGCGGTTTGACAACCGTGGAATGTCCGGCGGAGCCGAAGGGGCCCGAAGTGGTGGAGAGTGGCGACAGTGGCGCTGAATGCCCTATGCCAACATGGCGGCGACTTCTTTGTTGTTGTTGGTGTGAAGGTGGATTTTTGGCCAGAAAATCACCCCAAAAGCGCATGCAAAGTACTCCGTGTGATGCCCAAGACACCCCCGCGTGCGTGAACAAGTGCTTAGTGTGAAGATAGCGTGCGCTGCACCGTGAAAACTGTGGCCAAAGTGATCTTTTTTTCCCAAATTCTTTTTCTCCTCGTCACCTCTCGCTCGCACTACATAGAGGCTCGCTGAGCGGGACGGAGAGTGCATCACATAGCCTACTGCAGAGTGTGTGCCGAAAAGAGAGAGAGCGAGTGACCCCACAAAAGTTTCTCAACTACATTTTTCAACCACACTCCAAGGATTGCTGGCCGAGAGAGAATCCATTCTCTGGGGCGCTGCGCCACCGTGAAAGTGCCCTGTGACACCTGGAGCCCCTGCAGGGGCGTCTGTGCTCGCGATTTGTGTGGAATTTCACCCTCTGGCGCGTGCGATTGTGGCAGAGAATGAGGAGGAAAAGTGATTTTTGACAGGCCTGAGTTCAGAGAGTGTCACTGTCTTTCTGCGGGCTCCCACGACAGAGGGGCGCAGTCTACCTGATTTGGAGACGAGGGGAGACATCCCGACTGCCTGTAGTGCCTTCAGGAAGTGCCTAAGAGTTGAGTGAGGAGTGCTTGAGTGGAGGAATTGTGAGTGTGTGGCTGAAAGTCCACCATTTGGAATTCTTAACCTTCTTCAGTGACGTTTCCGGACCGTGGAGTCTCACGGATCCCCACACGGACTCCACGGGTCGCCGTGGAGAAAGGCAGAGAGGCGTGGAGAGTGGCAAAAAAGTGTGTGTGTGAAATTTATCAACAAGGCGAAATTTTGCACAGCCGAGGAGGTGCCTAATTTTAGAATATTTCCTCTGCGGAGTTGGGGGTCTGCCGAGGAGCCGAGGGACAGGCAACAAGTGAAGAGAGCTCACCATCACGAGTGAAATGTGTGGATTTCCCAAGGAGACACCCATGACACGAGGAGACAAGGTTAGTCAACTAGCTGTTCTGCCATCCCTTCTGGCCACTGTTGGGCAGCACTGGCTGTGGAATGTGGCCAGGAGCATGGGCCAATTCATCAGTCACACATAGTCAGTAGAGTTTGGTGTATGACTTTTTGCAAGAGCGACAGAGAGAGAGAGAGAGAGTAAGAGAGGGAATCTTTGAGACCATTCTCTTTTTTCATTGCATTTTTTGCTCTTGCTTCTTCTACTTTTGGAAGAGGAGCAAGAGCAAAAGAAGAGCCCCCAACACGAAGAAGAAGAGCCCGTGTGTGTGACGGTAAAATATGTGACCGATGAGAGGAGAGTGAGAAAAGAGGCGAAAAAGATAAATAAATGCGACAAAAAGTCTGTGAAAATGTCAAACATGCACACAAAACAGTTTATCTCCTCTTTTATTAAATATTTCCACAGATATTTTTGCATGAAATCACACAAAATCAAATAATGGAAGATTCGCATAGTCATATTAGTTTTATCAGATGTTTCATTTCGGAATTGAGGAACGCGTTGTCCTCAGTAGGAGGTGTCCAAGATCGCAGAGTTAGCAAGCAGATGGAAGAATTCCTAATTTTCATCGTCAATTGATGATTGATTAATTGGCTATTTTGATGAGTCAGTAGCTTTGATGACTTTTTCCATGAATTTCTCAATTAGGAATTCCTTTCGACATGCAAGAATATTAGGCAGCTCAGCTGATTAGATTGAAATCGCAATAGAATTTAATTTACTATTGACTAGAGGCGTGGAAAATGTTGTTCTTTATTTATTTCATATGAAGATCATCTTTCCTGAAAAATCAGGGAAAGAATCATGAAAAAGTCACGTCTCTCTTTGTGATGAAACACAAGGCAAAAAATATGTATTAATTTTTCATCGACATTGTATAGCTAGAGTCTTAAACATTGACAGTCTTCAGGTTATTTGAGAAGGAATCGTCGCGATTTGCAATGAAGAGCGGGAATGCTCAATAGAAAATAAATAAACAAGAAGTTGTGGGTTGATTGCAAACAAATAAATCATCTAATAAATAAATATCACAAGGAACATCTCTCTTTGGGTTCTTGTGCGAAATGGCGCGGGGGCTTCGAAGGAATTTTTGACGTAATTATTTGTGTAAATATTTTAGGAATTTCACGTAGCGCATTTTTTCATGCTCTCCAACTTTTTTTTGTGTGCCTGTGCGGATATTTTTTGAGCTCACAATTTTTCTGTTTACTCGCACTTTGTGTAATTTGTGCAAAAATTTTCCTGTAAATGTGTGAGAAGAAGAAGAGGAAAAAAAACTGTGAGAAAGAAGGAGAATAACAATATGTGAAATTTATTGAAAAGTCATTTTTTCGTCTCTCCGTCACAAGTCGAGATGAATTCCTCTGTGAGATTTTGGCAGAGAATCACAGAAAATAAAAGAATTTTTCTCACATATATTTCACCTTATTCACTCTCTCTCTCTCTCGCTCGGTGTAGGAATTTTTTGAATTTTCCTCACACCGTGAAATTCTTTCTGTGAGTGAGCGAGAAGAGGAATTCAGCGAGAAAAACACTGAGAGAAAAAATGACAATGTATGAGAAATATGTTAAAAATTTCTCTCTCGCCGAGTTGCTGTCGCTCTCACTTCCACCCACTGGATGACAGTTGGGTGGGAGTGAGATGGGGAGTGTAGAGCGAATAATTCCTAAAATATTTCACGCACACATTTTTCATGTACATCTGCCCTCTCCCTTGCTCGCGTGATAATTTTCTTTTTTTTCCATCTATCATTGCCTCTTCATTTTGTTTAATTGATTGTGGTGTGCTCTATTGAACGAGAAAAAAGTGTGTGTTGTTTTCATCTTGAAACAGAAAAGAAAAAAAATGGGTATATTAAATAATCATAAATACACTTTTCCGTGCATTTTCTCAATGGTTGTCTGTGTTTGTGCTGTGTGGAAAATCAAAGCGTGAAATTCCTCACTGTGTGATTCACTCTCTCTATACGCATTTCATCACCATCGAAGATTTTCCTCAATTGAGAGGATGAGTTTTACTTTTTTCTGCCGCATGTGTGCATTAAATTCCATCAAATATTTGAACAAACCATGTGTTTGCCATATGTCAGTACGAGGAAGGGGATTTTCACGCGGGGAAAACAGGGAAAGAGAGATAGAGAGAGAGCATATGATGATAGCAGAGGGAAATGAGTGAGAATAACTATTGGAAGATTTTTCTCAAAATTCTTAAACACCGAGTGTATTGGCATTTCCCTCTTTCACGCGCCTATTGTCGGATCATTTTCCATGTGAATCACATGGGGAAAAGGTGCTCATCGTGCTAATCGCTGTAAAAATTTCCATCTTATATCAATTTTATCAATTTTTTGTATGATGGAACACAATGACATGTGCTAATCTGTATTTGGTTGAATCATTTGCACTTTGAATTGCGAGAAGAAAACCTAGTTATCTTCGTCATTAATTCGTTGTTGTTTGATGATGTAGAATTAATAAGATTTCTTTGAGAACAGGAAAAGCATAGTAGTAAAATTGATTATTATCTATTAGACTGATTAGACTAGTTTTTCTCACTATTGAAAAGTGATTAAATTTTATTTCCCGACAGCAAATGGCAATTTTCGTATACCATATAATTAAATGTAAAACAGTAGTGAGATAAGATGTACTCTTGTCTTTTTTTTATTGGTTATGATTAAATGAAATTAAAGTTCTCATCTGGAATGCTTTGAAATTGTTTTTTTTTTCTTAAAATTTATTGGTTAGATTCCAAAGTGCGGTTATTATTTGAAGAATGCAGAAAGTAATTACTTTTGTTAACGCGCTTGCAGATATCTTTTTGAAGGAACAAAGAATGCATAACGAAAAAAGGCAGATGGAATTCACGAAATCTCATCAAAAGAAGCTGAATATCGTGGAGAGAAGGAGAAAAAATTACGCGAAAGAGCCGAAAAGAATTTGACTGAGAGAAGGAGGCAGATGGGGGCGTGAGCGGGATGACTAGTGGTGTTGCATACGAAATAAGAAGAAGAGGAAAGACCTTCTTTTCCGAAGCAATGGAATTTATATTATATTTTATTTGCGTGTAATTTGACGTTGTGTGTGTGTGTGCGTGGTATTTTTGAAATTCCCATGCGAGCGTAGAGTGTGTGCGGGAGGGTAGGATGAGGGGGAGGCAGGAGTGCGAGGGGGTGGGGAGAGAAGAGACATTTTGGGATTAAATAGAGAGAATATGAATAAGGAGCCAGAGGGGAAGAGAGAGAGAGATAGAGAGAGAGAGCGGTGGAGTGTGATGGGGAGAAGCGAGATGACATAGTGGTTTTGGCAGTGGAATAGACAATTGCGATGGAGTGAGTGAGATGGTTGGGTGAAATTTTGAAAATTCCTCAGTGGAATGCCAAATGCGTGAGAGATGAAATACCGAAAGAGATTCCAAGTAGGAGAGCGAGAGAAATAGAGAGGCAAAAGTGCGCACACGAGACGTTTTTTTTGTCATGGAGATCTTCACCTCCACCTTAGCCTCCGTCATTGCTCTCTCTCTCTCGCTCTCTCCCTTTTTGATCGCACACACAAAATATTCCATGTCTCTTTAATCCAACACTGCTCATCTCACTTCATCACCCACGCATCGGCATCTGGCTCACTCTTTCTCTGTCACCCGTCAATTAGGCATGCAAAAAGAGGATCTGTCAAATCACTTCCAGAGAAGAGAGCGAGTTGAGATCAATGGCAATTATTTTATTCTCAGTGAAGACAGATAATGATTGTGTACAGTTTATAAAAATTCGATGGCAAAAATTCCAGAGAATTGAAATTCTCGTTTTGCTTTGATGTGGATGATTTCATTGGAAATATCTTACTCTAACTGAATTTCACTGGAAAATCTAATCTACACTTTATGTTTACTCTGACCAAGAGAAACACCCAAATTTGCGTGACTTTTTGCTTGAGTTGCTTGAATTGGTGCGTTTGTATTAAAGTGTAAAAAATGCACGAGAGGGAGAAAAAAAAAGTTATCAAGACTTGATAGTGATATAAAACGAAAATGGGGGAATTTTGTAATAACAGTGAAATTTTGAGGAATTCTCTGAATGAGGGGGATTTTCCAGCAATATTTGGAAGAAAGGCGGGAAAATTGCTGGCGTGAGGAATTCAGTGGAGTCAAATGTGAAGAGAGAGAACATCAATTTTGTGGCGGGAGAAGGAAAATATAAATTGGTTTATTGGTTATTAAGGCACACACAACACAAGGGAGACGATTGAGTGAGACAGAAAGAGGGAGACGACGGTGAAGAGGCCAGGAAGAAGCGGAGAGAAACAATAAAAAAATGTGGGGTGGACGTGAGGGCAAAAAGAAGAGGAAGACAGGTGCAGGAATTCCATTAAAAAACAATTTTACTAATGTCTCTTCTCTAGTATATATTTTGTTCTCTCAACATGTATTTTTTTTTTACCATACTTTTTATCTCATGCCACATTTTTCCTTCTCTCACTCCTCTTGCAGAAGCATCAGCCGAGACAGTGGAGACGATGATCAAGTTGGCCTCCGGTGATCACTGAAGGATTTTCTCTCGTCCGGAGATCTGGATAAAAGTGCCTGGCAGAGTTTTGGAATTTCAGCAATTTGCATCGAGGGAGAAGATTGACTGTGGAATTTGATAAGGAAGCGAACGGAGGAGAAATATTTGGAATATTTTTCTCAGTGCCTCTGGTCTTCTCCATCTCCAATTAATTTAATTAAGCCAGTGATTATAGTGGACATTTCTTTTTTGAAAAGAACATTTATTTTCTCTTTTTTTGAAACTGTTGTTGTGTGTGTGCGTGTCCACGTGTGGAAAATTGTAGGTGGGGAAATTGGTGAAAAATTGTGCGGTGGGATCTTTTGTGATATGATATGACAAACTACGACAATAAGGATGAATTCATCCGGCGGAAAGACACCGTCATCGGCGCGATTGTCGGAATATGCGACAAATGCATTGGAGCAAATCAGGAAAGATCTATGCAAATTTGTGCATATCACCAATGGATCGCAGGTAATGCGAACAAAAATGTTTCTTCTGCGCAAACCAATTATTATCCCAGCTTAAATATAAGTGTCAGGAGGAGGAGGAGGAGAGTCTGTTTTTGCCCTCCTCGCCAGTTTCTCTTTCTCTCTGCCTTTTGTGGCAATTGAGAATTTATTGGAGGAATATATATCTGAGGCATACAGTGAAATAATCTCGAGATCAGAATCATTTATAAGAAGTGCGCGTGTGTGAGGGAGAAGGAGAGAGAGAAATTTAAATAATTGCACATTTCTTGCTACTGTAAAAGGTGTTTCCATACCATAAGAAAAGATGATAGAGAAGAGATGTGTGTGAGAGAGGGAGAGAGGATGGATGAAAAAAAAGAAAACAGAGATTCTTTCCACAGATTAAAAGCCATTATATCCCTCAAGTCTCATTTCAAAGTATCAATAAGACGAAGATAAAATGTAATCAATTGACATTGAGAGATCATATGAAGATCGCGATCGTACGCGCTTCTTTCTGCCTCATTTTTGCACTGGTGCGCGTATAGAGAGGAAATATATTTATTGATGATTATGTTCTTCTGCAATCTCTTTCTCATGACTTTCTTCTGTTGTGCTTGTTTTTTTTCTTCTCTGTGCTGTGCTGCTCAGATGACACAAGATGGATCAACTACACCACAATTGGGCCAGCAACAGGTGACAAATCATCAAAATCTGGCCGAACGAGAAAGAGACATTCTCATGTGTCAACAATTGACTAATTTAATCAATGCCGGCTACAGTGAGGTGAGCACCAGAATGCACATTCCCTTTGAGTCTCTCGCCTTTTTACTGCAATTGTGCGCCATGTGGCCGCAAGTTTGACGATTGCTGCAAACAAAAGGCAATCTTTAATCTCCCTCTCACTCCAAATGGGCGACTGCTGAAGATCTCTTTTTTACTGTTGCTTCTGGGTCTTGCTGGAGACTTTTAGTGTTGTTTGTTGGCATGGAATGTGAAATGGCGCCATGGACTATCAACTTCTCTACCTTGACAACTACCTATAATATTTACAGATATAATAATATGCTTTACATGCGACACTGGAAGCTCATGAGAGTGAGACAACGCAAGGAGAGGATGGCGGAGTAAAAATAAAGGGAAACACGACGCGGGGAGTTGGGATGACGACGAGGAGGAGGGACAGGCGGGAGGGTATTTTAATATCCAGTTGAGGCAACGGTGAGGTGACAAGGGAGAAAATGAGAAAATCAAGAGGCCTTAAATAATGTTAAGATAATTTTCCTCTGTTCGCGATCGCACGCCAGATCATGAAGAGATCATCGTCATGTGTGTGCTTGTGTGTGTGGTTTTGGTGGTGGGAAGAAGACGATGCTGGAGGAAAAAAAAAGACAGTGCAGAAAAGAAGAAGTGATCGTCATTGGAAGGACGACAAGCAAGATGAAATTTGGCGCGCGCGCGCGCACGTAAAAGAATAAAGAACCACAGAGAGAGGGAAGACAAGAAACAAACAAATGAGCAAAACGGTCAATCCCTCTGTTTTGTGTGGCCCACAAGACAGAGAGACTTCGTCCTTCACACGAGTCGCCTGTGTGATGTTGCAATTCTTCGCGCGAAACGCGAGCAGAATGGAAAAAAGTTGGCCCGCGGCGAGGTGGGTTCGGTGGGAGGGATGTGGGGACAAGGAGGAATGGGGCAACGTAAGAATTTATAAAGTAATGCAATAAGAATAGTTAGAGATGAGTTCGGAAAAGGGAGTATAAGAAGAAGATCAAGAAGCAGCAAAGATGAAAAAAAAGAAGCAAGGTGAAACGGAGGGAAATAAAAGGCACAAGAGAGGGAGAGAGAGATTGAGGAGAAGAAGCACATTGAGCCACATATAAAATGGAATGAATGGAAGGGGGTGAAACGGAGGAAAGGAGAGAGAATGAGAGAATATCTGTTGAATGTGGAGGAACTTTCTTGCTGGACGACGATCCCAGTGACGCGTTGAGGATTGCTGGAGGAATTCTCACATGCGCGCCTCATATGAAAACTGGTTGCATCCCAAAGACGATGGCTTTAGCATGCACACACAAGGAGGAGGGTGAAAAAATGACGAAAAAGGGGAAAGAGCGCAAAAGATTCTTGTAGAATCTCGACAGTGTGTTGTTGCTGTGTGGCTGTTTTTTTTGTATCGCTTTGCCTTCTCCTCGTGTGGTGTGAGATCGCACTAAAAGGCATCTCGCGGAGGCAATTACACCAGCAAGAGCGTCTCTCTGGTGATCTCGTCCCCCCATCGCCGGCAATGGGTATACATTATATACAGCCAAATCCGGGGGAATTGCGCGTGAGAGGGAGAGACTTCATTTGATAATGGACGATGAAGGTGGAAAAAATACATGTTAATAGCCAACAAATAGAGAAACATGATGGAGATCACAAGAGAAACGCCTCCGGGGATCAAAGGGAGGATGTGAGGAATGTCAAGAATGCACATTCTTCACACTTTATTCGCTCAAGGAGACTCTATTTTGCCAACAGCCGCCGTGAGGAGAGAGAGAAAAAAAGGAAAAGTGCTGAATATTGTTTTTCATTTCTGTTGCAGGAACAAGCATTGAATGCACTAAAGCAGGCTTCTGGGCGTCCGGATGGCCTCCTGTTTGCCGCCACGAAGCCTACATCCTCTCCGGAGTCGCCAATCAATGGACATAGTGCTCCACCGTCGTCGAAAGTGCCAGCACCATTGGCCACGAAGTTGATGCGGAAGCACAGCATCGAGCGTGAACTGTCACAAGCGCTCCAATACAACCGAAATAGTCCGGCACTCGATTCGGGTGCGGGCAGTTCACGATCGGATAGTCCTCACTCGCACCAGCAGATCATTCAGGTGAGCAGTCGCGCCAGCACGGGACAATACTCCCCATCGCCGTGCCCGTCAAGCTTCAGCGATGCCCCACCGCTGCCACCGCCCCGGTGCTCCTCAACACCACCCACTCCGCCTCCGGTGCCCGTGACGAACTTCCAGCAGTTGTTCAAGCGCATGTCGCCGGCGACGAATCCCACACAGAGGACAGTGCCGCTGCCGTCGCAGAGTCCGGCCAGAGGGACGTCGCCGGTGAGTGCTGTGGGGACACATCCGAGGCAGCCGATGATTGTGCAGAATGGGCCACAGGCGCAGCAGCAGTTGTCACAGCAGATGCAAGCGCTAAGCCTGTATCAGAGTGGTGGGAATTCGGGAGAGCCACCGCCGCCGTATCCCATCATCTCGGCGGGCGCTCCTCCGCCGCCGCCCAGCTACACGGCGTCCATCCAGAGTCGCCAGAGTCCCACGCAGTCCAGCACAACGACGGATTACCGCAAGAGTCCCAGCTCGGGGATCTACTCGGCCACGTCGGCGGGCTCACCTAGTCCCATCACTGTCTCACAGGCGGCAGTGACACCCCCGCATGCGGCCGGAATGCCGCGGCCCATCCCTCTGCCCGCCTGGGGAACTCGTCAGACGAAAACCCAGCCGCCCATAATCATGCAGTCGGTGAAGTCGACGCAAGTGCAGAAGCCTGTACTGCAGACGGCCATCGCTCCAGCGGCTCCTGCCACGCCATGCATCGCCACGACGGTGGCACCGCCCTCGTATGCGTCCAGTATTCACCAGAAATCTCAGGCCACACCACCATCTCCAGTCACGGTGGCTGCGCCCAAGCCCCCCGTCTCGACACCTTCCACACCGCCCGCGGTGAATGGGAGTGTGACACCGCAGCCGGTGGTGCCGACCACGGAGCCTCCATCCTACGCCAGCACCATTCAGGCTTTCCTCACCGCCCAGCAGACGCGCAATTTACCACCGCCGCCACCCTACTCAACTGCCAACACCACAACCTCCAGGAATTCCCCGGCCGAGTCTCCCAGTAGTCTGAAGAATGGGGGGAATCTCGCCACGACGCCACCTCTGCCACCGACAGCGTCCTCCAGTGTGGCCAAAGTGAATGGGATTGACAAGAAGAGCGCCTCGTCGGTGGCCACCGGACAGGGCGCATCGAATCGTGGAGCTGGTGAGACGGGTCCGTGCAAGAAGATTAAGCATCACTCGCCGATTCCGGTGCGGAAGAATGTGTCGAAAGAGAAGGAGGCGGAGAGGAAGGAGTTCAGGATACGACACTACTCACCGCAGGCCTTCAAGTTCTTCATGGAGCAGCACATTGAGAATGTGCTGAAGTCCTACAAGGCGAGAATCTATCGGCGGAATCAGCTGGAGCGAGAGATGCTGAAGATGGGCCTCACCACCCAGAGTCAGACTCAGATGCGACGGATGCTGTGCCAAAAGGAGTCCAATTACATTAGGCTGAAGAGGGCGAAGATGGACAAGACGATGTTCTTGAAGATTAAGGATATTGGTGTGGGTGCATTCGGTGAGGTGAGTCTGGTGAGGAAAATTGACACGACCAATCATTTGTATGCCATGAAGACGTTACGCAAGGCGGACGTTCTCAAGAGGAATCAAGTGGCACATGTGAAGGCGGAACGGGATATCCTGGCGGAGGCGGACAATGACTGGGTCGTGAAGCTGTACTACAGCTTCCAGGATGAGGACAATCTCTACTTCGTCATGGATTATATTCCAGGTAATTCACCGAAGGCGAGGATGTGTGGTTAGTTGAGATTCTTATGTGTGTGTGTCTTCCAGGTGGTGACTTGATGTCTCTGCTGATCAAGAAGGAGATCTTTGAGGAGCCTCTGGCGAGATTCTACATAGCAGAACTCACGTGTGCTGTGGAAAGTGTCCATAAAATGGGATTCATTCACAGGTAAATAAAACATCATTTAGAGTGTTATGAAGAAGTTTTTAATTGCAATGTGTGAAAATTTTGTCTTTCAGGGACATCAAACCCGATAATATTCTCATTGATCGTGATGGTCACATAAAACTCACGGATTTCGGACTGTGCACGGGTTTCCGGTGGACGCATGACTCCAAGTATTATCAGAAGAATGGTGAGAGAATCTTTCTGCTGAGGTATTTTGGATGCAAAATAATACTTATTTTGCACGTCTTTTTCTTTTCACAACAGGAGAACACGCGAGGCAGGACTCAATGGAGCCCTGGGAAGAGAATGGAGAAGTCACGAGACCATCAGTGCTGGAACGGTGAGAGTGAAGAAAGCACAATTTCTGATTTCTCGAGTTTCAACAAGTTGTTTTGTTTGCAGACGACAACGAGCGCATCAGCGTGGCTTAGCACATTCCCTAGTCGGTACACCAAATTACATCGCCCCGGAAGTGCTCGAGAGGAGCGGCTACACTCAGCTGTGTGACTGGTGGAGTGTAGGCGTGATCCTGTATGAGATGCTCGTGGGTCAGCCGCCATTTTTGGCCAACACTCCCGGGGAGACGCAGCACAAGGTGAGTGATAATGAATGAAGTGATTGCAATTATCATACAAACTGTCTCCTTGTTGTCCTCTTTGTGTGTGTGTTGCAGGTGATAAATTGGGAGACGACACTGCATATTCCACTTCAGGCAAAGTTGTCCCGCGAGGCGACAGACATGATCCTGAAATTGTGTTCATCGCCCGATCGGAGATTGGGCAAAAATGCTGATGAAGTGAAGGCACATCCGTTCTTCAAGTCCATTGACTTTAGTAAGAATCTAAGGGAGCAACCAGCGCCGTATATTCCCAAAATTGAGCATCCCACGGACACGTCCAACTTTGATCCCGTTGATCCGGGCAAATTGAGAAACTCATCGCTGGATTCGGGCAGGAGTGATGAGTTCTCGGACACGGGAAAGCCCTTTCATGGCTTCTTCGAGTTCACCTTCCGGAGGTTTTTCGACGACAACAACACCAAAATCATCGTGGATGGCAATGATGATCTTGGACCTGTCTACGTATGACAATATCTCGAGGATCGAGATGCCTTCCTTCGCTGAACTTCTTCTCTGGTATTATTTTGCTTAATGGGCGGGGGAACAATTAGCAATTCTTCTCGGGATGGGATGATTTTAGTTCTTGAGAAAGAGAGAAACAAATAAAAAAAACAGGTGGAAATAAGGGAAAAAAAATCTTGCGAATTGTTGGGAAACGTGGAAAAATCGGAATTGGTGCTACTTTTTTGTTCTTCAAACTATTTTTATCTTATTATAACAGTGGATTATTTGTAGTGTCTTTTTTTAATTAATGTTCTATTTAAGATTAGGTGAGAGAGAAAAGATATGAAATGAAATTAAAAGAAATTGGAGGAGAAACAAGGGGAAAACGTGATAGGTAGATAAAGAATATTTTTGCTGAATATCTTGTAAGGATTACAAATGAGAAAAAAAGAGAAACTTGAAGTGCCTCGAGAGACCCAATTGCCAGCTGGCTGGTTGGCCCCAAAAGGAAAAAGTGTTGGATTTTTGTAACGAAACTGCCGACAAGGCGATAAAGTGAACAAATTTAATTATTTAAAAAAGAGTTTAAAGAGGAGGAGAGAAATGAAAATATAAACTATGCATCTAAATAGTTGTTCTTGAAATGGAAGAGAAAAACTCCGGCGGGCAAAATAGTCGCTCGTCCGGACAAAAAAATCAATTATATTTTGTAAAAGTTTCTATAATAACGATTATATACATATATATATATATTGCTTAACTGTAATGTAATTTATTATCTAGAAAAGAGCGAGCGAGAAAGGATTGAGAGAGAAGAAATACGAGAAAGTGAATTATATACAAGTGTATTTAAAAGTGAAGTAAAAATGAGGAGAGTTTTTAATATTATTCAAAAAGAAATTCTATGTATAGAAAAGAGAAGTTATTTTCTTTTTCGATGCAACACATTACATTAACATTGTATATTCTATTGAATGTGTATATAAATTTTTAAAATTAGAATTTAATATATTAAACGTAATTTTTAAAATGAATGCGAGTCTCTTATTCACATTTCAGTTAAGAGTTCACTGAGAGTCGTAAGAGTTTTGGGGTTGCAGCGAGCGCCTCTAGTGAGAGGTAGAATGATTGTGCCTTTGTTCCAAATTATTCCGCAAGAGGTGCTGGGTGCAGAGTTTTTATCGTGGAGTTCTGGAACGCGTGTTGATTTGGAGGAGCTTGTTATTCTGACCAAAATGACTTTCCGGGAGCGATTGCTGAAGAAAAAGATCCGTCGTCGGGAGCAGAAGTACAAGGAGTTTAGGAAGAACCAGAAAAATGATGTCGAGGATAGTGAAGAAGGTGAGATAAGAAGCGTTGAATATTTGTGAGCACGAATGCTAATGTTATTCATTTTGCAGAGATTCACCAGGAGGAAGAGACCACGCCGAAAGTGAAGAAATCCAAGAAGAAGCAGTCTACGATGAATTTCCAAGAGGAAGGTAAGCGAAATTTTTCTTCTGCCATCGGAAAATTGTTCCCATTTTCTGTATAACCTCAAATTCTCACGTGTTTTTGTTTACTTCGCAGAAGTTCATGTCGAGGAAAAAGTTGAAAAGCAAGGAAAAAAGAAAAGGAAGCAGAAGGCGGAAGCAGAGGAGAGTAAAGGTAAGGAATCAGTTTATATAGTGATTATATAATTTCATGATGACTAAAGGCGAATTTGATGGGAATTCCTTGCAAAAGTAGAGTTCCTGAAATGAAATAAGCTTTTCTGCTGAAATCACATCAACTACTTATCTCCCCTCTGAATGGGGTTTTAATAGTTTCTAATGAGCTTTTGACCATTTTCAGATGAATCTTCAGATGAGAAGCATGTGAAGAAGAAGCAAAAGAAGCAGAAAATCGAGAAGGAGGCATTATCTGATGAAGAACCCGAACAGAATGACGACAAAGGAGAGTCCAGCACTTCTCAGATTGTTCTGGAAGACACAAATTTCACCTCGCTGGAGAAGCACGTTTCTGAGGGCACTTTGAGAGCTGTCGCAGACATGGGATTCACGACGATGACAGAGATCCAGGCGAAATCCATTCCTCCACTGCTCCTGGGGCGTCACCTAATCGGATCGGCCAAGACGGGATCGGGAAAGACACTCGCCTTCCTTATTCCCGTGGTGGAGCTCATGCACAAATTGAACTTCAAGCCGAGAAATGGCACCGGAGCCGTTATAATCTCGCCAACACGAGAGCTGTGCATGCAGATTTTTGGCGTTCTCACGGAACTCATGGCGAATCACACCCAGACGTATGGTCTGATAATGGGAGGCGCCAATAGGAAGGTGGAAGCTGAGAAGCTCTCCATGGGAATCAACATAATTGTGGCCACGCCAGGAAGACTCTTGGATCATTTACAGAACACTCCGGATTTCCTGTACAAGAACCTCTCATGCTTGGTCATTGACGAGGTGGACAGAATCCTGGAGATTGGCTTTGAGGTGGAGCTCAAGCAGATCATTTCGATGCTGCCGAAGCATCGTCAGACGATGCTGTTCTCAGCCACACAAACAGAGAAGACGGACGCACTGTACAAGCTGGCCCTCAAGGGGAATCCCGTGTACGTGGGTGTGGACGATGAGAAGGAGATGGCCACGGTGTCTGGCCTCAATCAGGGCTACGTGGTGTGTCCCTCGGAGAAGCGCTTCCTCATGCTCTTCACGTTCCTCAAGAAGAATCGCAAGAAGAAGGTGATGGTGTTCTTCAGCTCATGCATGTCCGTGAGATTCCATCACGATCTCTTCAACTACATCGATTTGCCGGTGAGCTGTATTCACGGGAAGCAGAAGCAGGCGAAGCGGACATCAACATTCTTCCAGTTCTGCAATGCTGAGCAGGGAACGCTGCTGTGCACAAATGTGGCTGCACGAGGACTGGATATTCCCGCGGTGGATTGGATTGTGCAGTACGATCCGCCAGATGATCCCAAGGAGTACATTCATCGTGTGGGGCGGACGGCACGTGGAATGGGTGGATCTGGTCATGCGGTGCTGCTGCTGCGACCGGAGGAGATGGACTTCCTGAACTACCTGAAGGAGGCCAAAGTGCCGCTGAATGAGTTCGACTTTGCCTGGAATAAGATAGCCGATGTGCAACTTCAGGTGAGCAGTTCAATTGACGGGGTCTGTGGCGGTGTACACCGCAATGTTGGAGTGGGGATGCCTTGGGCCACTGGGATTGCTGGCACTGTGCCGAGAAGTGAGAGAAGGTGCTTGTGTATGTTCTGCAGCCGACCGGATAGAGTCACCCAATTCTGGTGTCTTCCGTTTGACGGATGACTTATTTAAAATAGACACTGTCTCCCTATTCATCTCCTCACCTGAACACGGCGCTGACCAGGAGTGTCGATGAGCGAGAGTGAGATGGAGCGAGTGGGATTTTTCCTCGATTGCCTCACCAGAGTGACTCCAGGGTGTGATTTTGATCGCAGATGTTTTCCAAGAGCAGCAGCTCAATTGAATCACTTGCTGACTTGGTAAATGTGGAGGTGGGTCAACTTGTCGGCGAGTGCTGTGCTTTTTTTTTCTTTCTTTCCTCGCACTCACTGGCTTTTCATGGCAATTCCGGGGGCGTTGAGATGTCGTCATCCACGTGTTGAACAACTCCTGACCATCTGACGCGATTTCACGGGGATTTGGGCGCTGTGGGTGTGAAAAAATGCAATGTAGTCAATTGTGGTTGTTCTCTCTTGCAGCTGGAACATCTGATGGGGAAGAATTATCATCTGAACCAGGCGGGAAAGGAGGCATTCAAGGCGTACGTGAGGGCCTACGATGCTCACCAATTGAAGACGGTGTTTGATGTCTCAACGTTGGACCTGAAAGGTGTTGCCAAGAGTTTTGGTTTCCTAACACCGCCTTTTGTGGACTTGAGTGAGTATATCAATCAATTTGCAATCGAATTGGGAGATCATCTGGGTGGGAAATGGTGGGAAAATGAGGGATTTTCAACAAGAATGCCCCATAAACTTGAGATAATTCACCGACAATCCTATAAATTTGTCAATTATCCATCAATGGAGTGAAGGATTAAAGTGTGCTTTGGCGATATCCCACGCGCGATCGCGGGTCATTTGTGATGTCCAAAAGTACGACACTTGGTGGGAAAACAAGGAAATCTTGCTGTAAATTTCATCCAAAAGACATTATCCGATAAATAATGCTCTTTTTGCTTTGCAGACATCACCACGAAGAGACAGAGACCCGAGAAGAGGACTGGAGGTGGTGGCTACGGTGCTCTGAAGGCAATGAATGCCAGCAAGAAGACGCAGAAGAAGGTGTACAAAGTGGCTGATCAGTTCACGAGAGGATGATGATGGGGAAATGATCCTCTGAGGGAGAGACGATGAAATAAATTCATCTATTTATAAGACGATGATTCCATCGGATGCCTTTTTGGGATAGCCTGGACAAACGTCGGGTTCGCCTTAATTAGCAAATAATGACTCGTGTGGATCCCACACGGGCCAGCAGCAGAGCTAAATATTTTTATTGGCTGAGGAGAGACTGTGGCTTTTTGCTGGGGTCACATGAGAAATATTGCCTCAAAAATCGTGTCTCTTTGATTCTTTATGGAAAGTTGTACTGTAAAAGTTGCCCTTTTTCGTCAAACGCCTCTTCACTCTGGTCGTTGTTTTTTTTTTATTTATTCATCTGCGCTGCTGGCTGAGAGAAAAAGAGTCATATTTTTTATCTAATTATTAGTTTTTCTGCGTCTCTCGTCATGCCCACACAATTCTAATTGATATTCCATTGAGAGAAATGTTACACCAATTGATTTTCCAACGCAATATCTCGGAGAGACACCCACACTGGGTGCGTTGGGCAGCATCACCCAGGTGAGTTTCATTGACAGAGAGACTCACTGGGTGCGATGGTGCACCTGGAATACAGAGAGATAATGGGAAAAGGTGGAAAATGACGAGATCTTCCGCTTTGGGTGCATCAGAGAGTGGCTTGTGTGTGGGTTTTTGTGGCAATTGCCACGCAATCTGGCTGCTCAATGCTTGTGTGACGCTTCATTGGTCGATGGGGTGGGTAGAGATATGGCAATGACCAATAAATTCCTCCGATTTCTTATCAATATCTGAAGTGTGATAAGACACGTGGGATTTGGATTGGCGCTTTTGGCGCCATTGGAATCGGTTTATCGATTGGCCCTTCGGGAATACCCGGAATTCCAGCACTGAGCGAGACAACCCGATACCCGTGCGTGCGCCAGAGCGGGATGGCAGAGTGTGGCGGCCATTTTACTTGTTGAGCTTTTGTTGAGCACCCGAAAGCGATCGAGCTGGTCGCGAGATCAGTTTCTCCGTGACTTTGCTGAAGTGCAGATCACACGGATTCTGTGTGCTCCATAGACAGTTTTTTTCCTTTGAGACTCTACCACCCAAATTGCACACAACTCACACCAACCATCTGCTACGAAAGATTTCCGTGAGGACTCTGAGTGTTGTGAAAAGGTGCAAGAAGTTGCGGGTGGGCTAGGAATCTGGACAGAGAAGATAATTCCACATCCCTCGAGGTGTCAAGTTGACAGATCTGCAGATGAACTTTTCCGGACCTATTTTCACCACAATACAGCGGGAAATCTCCTGTAAACTCTGATTGGGGCCACGCACGGGGAAGTGAAGAGCATCCTCGATAGTCTTTTGGGGGATCCCAACACAAAGGAGAGGCCATTCGAAGCGCCCCAGACTCCGACGAAGAAGAAGAAGAAGACAGTTCTGTGCAGGGCAGAAAGAGAAAGACACACGCCAGAAGAAAAGAGGCTGCGACAAGTGCGACAGAGTGTCCGGAAAGCTTGATGTCTCGACCGATCGCCTGATCGCACAGGAGACTCTCTCATCCCAGCATTTGAGCCAGGGCAGATCGAGCAGCCAGCAAGATATCGCAGCAAAGTAAGAAACGAAGAATCGACACAATGAGCACTGATAACAACAATACGCAGCAGAGTACGCAGAGCATAGCTGATTACTTGGCGCAGCTGCTCAAAGACAGAAAGCAATTGGCCGCCTTCCCGAATGTCTTCAACCATGTGGAGCGCCTGCTGGACGAAGGTGAGTCCCAATCATTGTTCCCAGCATCTCCCCTTGTGGTGTTGGCACACAACTCGAGAGATCCGGGCGTTAGATGTGAGACGGTCGCGCACGGCTGTGGTGCGCGCGATGAAATTCCAGGGAAGGCAATGCAGGCCAGAATAATGCAGAATTGCACTCAGTCCAGGGAGGGAATCGCGGGTGCACCCCAGAAAAGGCCAGGAGGTCTCTTTTGCTGACGATCGCGAGGTGATCATACAACTTTCGAAAGAGAAACCACGCAATAGGGCTTTTAGGCTCACGAGACTTGAGATTCTCACTCACTTTGACTTGAGATTGTTATTTTGCTAATCACATTTTCGTGTTTTGTGACAATTTCTGCGAATTTCTGCAGCGGAGAACATTTCTAAACATGTGCGATAGATTTTTCATACAGTTCTAATATGAGAACAATGTTTTTCAAATACTGTCACGTAATGTTTTCTCTTTGAGAATGATGGAATTTTCTTAATCCAGAGACACAACAAGTCAATGGGTCTCTTTTCCATCACTGCCAAATACAATACCTGTGATAATTTGCCAAAGACTCACTGATATTCACCCATTTTGCGGGGAATTGACCAGCAAATTTGGCACATTTTTCCACTCCGTTATTCCGCAATTCTTTTTTTTTGTTCACCCATCGACGCACGCACTGGAATGAGTTGCCTCACGGGATGATGAGAGATCCTCTCGAGTCAACCACTCAACAAAACGGCAGGCGTCAGAATGGAGGCAGCAGGGCTGATTGCATAGGGGAAATGGTTGACTCTTCAAGAGAGACTTCACTACCAGCATTTCACTCCACAATCTCTGAGTTATTTCGAGCGAGGGGCATGCATATTTTTGTGATTTAGAGTTCACCAGACCATCATCATTAGGGGGCCGCGCCGTGACGGCAATCTCTCACAGACCTCTATTTATTGCCCTTACCTAAAAATATGCCTGCACACACGGACGACCCTCGAGGGAAATGTTATCCTCCTTTCGCGCGGGACTTTTTTTTCGTCCTCTTTATCTCGCCCTCCTTCTCGGTTATCACCGCATGGATGATGGAGTCACGGGCGCAGAGAGAGAGGTCAGTCAATTTTCACCCAGATGGACAAGAAAGAATGTGCCAGCCGAGGCCCTAAACTCGTTTCAATCGCTTCTTTTTTCCCATCTCCTTCAACTGCCATCAGTCAGCAATTTCCTGAGGAATTCAACTCTCTCATGTGATCTTCGATGATCGCGCGAGACATGGCAAAAAAGGAAGTGTATGTGTGCATATATGCTCTCTTTGACATCTCTCTCGGCCGTGCAGAGTGCAATTGTCATGGTTAAGCACTAATCACACCTCAAGATCGGTGATTTTTCGCACAAGATCAGCCCCAGAGATCACCTGGTGATCACGATCGGTCGAGATGAGTGATCTCTGCATGCCACATCTCGGCTTCAGCCGCAGCTTGCATGCATTTGCGGAGGGGGATAAAATCTCGACAATAGAGACTGAGAGATCCTGAGTGTCCGGCCTGTCTTTCTCTCTCCCCCTTTTGCCCCGAGAGTTAGTGCAGAGTGTGTTATCAGAGTGTGATCTGTTTTGCGTGCATTGAGTATTAAATTGGAAAATAGCAAATGAAAAGAGAGGCTCAGCGCACAAAAAAGTGATGCGATCGAGTAACTATACAAGTTGGAAGGAGTTAACCTCATTCGATACTTATATACACTTCAATATAAATTACTGTGCAAAAGAGTCAAGTGTGTTTTTAGCATTCACTCTCTTATATGTGTTTGATTGGGGGATTTTGTATGCAATGTCTGACTGTTGGGCGTAAGAAGTTAATAAAAAAAATGCGAAGCAGAGTGAGAAAATTACAATTTTTCAACATTTTTATATAAGAAATTATATATATGTATGTGTGTGTGCGTTTGTGACTTTATGATGAGGATCTCACAAAATTTCGGGACTCATCTGAATTCTGAAAAAATACAAAATATTAATGCTAATACTCGTGAGGCCTGAGAAAAATAAGCAACTGGTTTAGAACTTGTTGAATATTCTCGTGGGTATTTCATTTTCTCACTCACCGCCTCGCTTGACAATATATTGGAGGGCTATTCCGAAGGGGGTTCATCACATCTGGACAATTATTATTTCATACTTGTGGAAATCGTGTCTCAGTTGAGACACATGTGAAACAATGTCTTATCTGAGATTGCTTTGAGAAAACACGAAACATTTGTGCATAACTTATTGGCATGTCAATCGCATTTCCTTATATGTTTTGGCGAATAACTGATAAACCCCTGGGTTTGGGCGCATTATGTGCTTGGATAAATTGTACATAGTGATCATGATGTTGTATAAATGTAGCATAAATTCAAACATATCACCACCACAGCATCAGATGCTGGAGAATTTTCTCTGATGGCGATGTGTTCGCGGACTGGTTGGATCATTGGGCACATTTGTTGTTTGTAATGATCGGGCAAGAGTGAATGTGCGAGAGGGAGAGAGAGAGAGAGAGAGATCCAATCCAAATGGACTGAATTGAAATTCCTCATTGGGTCTAGTGCTGCCTAGAATACAGTGAGAGAACATGATGCTGCGATACTGTGAGATATGTTTGGAGTGGTTTGGTCTATTGTATATGCGAGGAGGCCGCGGCACAGGCTCAGGGTATGGCAAAAGGTAATGGAGAGTGAGAGAGTTTCATGAGAAAATAACATAAAATCAAGCACGAGAGTAGAAAATTCTTTCAATATCCAATGAACTTTTCGCTCTCGAGCTCACTGTTGTGTGTATATTTATTCTGATTTAGAGGTCTCCGCACTGGTAAATACCGTGAGTGCAACGGACAGAGTAAATGCATAAGAGGCGAGGAGGATGGAAAATTACCTTTGAAAATTCCCTACGCCCTCCTTTTCACTCTCGGTGATCTATTTATTTTTAATGATCACTGCCATTGCACAACATTGCGCATTGTTGCGCTCTCGTGGGGAGCGTGCAAAGTGACCGAGATGCACAATCAGTGAAATTTTGTTCCACAAAATGTGGTCTCTGGTCAATTGATCGTGGTGGGTCGCGGGCGAGCACGAGATCACACAAGGAAAAACAGACGACGACGCAATATCATATATTGGTGGACTTTCGTGAAGAATCAACTCTTGTCTTGTTTGATAAATTTCAAAAGGCTAACTTTAAGTTGATAGAAAATCGCTGTTTTCTGCTTGGTGGCCTCAATTAATGTGACTATCGTGTGATCTCCAGTGGTATTTGTCACTCTAAGTTGTGGAGAGGCATTGAGAAAATTTTTTTTGATAAATACAAATGCTGAAATTTGCGAATTAAAATACATGAAATATCATAGTAAATGAGCAAGATCACGAGCAATTTGTTCAATCATTAATTTCTTGAGCGGCACTCTTAGTCCCACGACGGCGATTAGTGATCGATTGAGACATTATGGTGAACTGTATGAAATGGAAAAGATTCTCAGTCCCAAGACAATTTTCTCAGCAATATACCAGCACACCGTGTGTGCTTTCTTATGCTCTGACGGAGGGAAAAAATGGTGCAAGAATATTAGCTGTCGCGACAGAGGGGCGATCAAGACTGACAGATCTAAATAATTCAACATATTTTATGCTAATAGTGTGATGTTTGGGAGAGAGTCAGTCCACACATGGAGCATATGAGGCATTCCAGTCGTGGCGGTGCGTTGGCTGTTGTGTGCAAAAAAGGCAAGCAGGTATGAGATTGTCTCTGTTGCAAGAACAAAACTATCATGATCACCTCAGTGGGAGGTGGGATCAATTAATTAATCACACACTGGCAAAACATATTTTTTCCCCGCGCCATTAATTCACTCATTTTTAAATTAATGTGCGTGAAATTTAGACACAAGTCGATCACAGGCAAAATTCCTCTTTGGCGCTCCTCGTGAGACAAAAAAGACGTGATCTTTTTTGGGAGTGTGATTTATTAGAAAATAAGAGGGAGACAGAGAAGAATTCTAACGAGTGATCTTTTTGTCTCTCTGGTGAGTTGAATGGGTGTAGGATTTTTTCAAGCATGGGATTTGCATCTCTCTCTCTTTCGGAGCATTTGAATGCTGGTGGGAAGTGAAAAAGGGCTGAAATTTAAATGTTCTGCATGACAAATTTTCACTCGTCTCACATGACTTCAGTTCAGATCGTCGTCATTGACGAGAATTCTGTGTGGGCTCTGCAGTGTGTACAACAAAGAATTCACCATGGTTGCTGTGCGGCGGGCGGGGGGAGCAGGGGGAGTGTTGGGCAAGAGAAGAATACAATTCCACCGCATAAGATTGTCAGAATCTGATTGAAAAATATATATGGATGTAATCTATTTGTACGGATAGATCTTGGTGGAAGATGGAAATCATCTTCTGTTGCTGCATCAGCGGATCAATTGAATAATTTGGTGAAATAAATGGAGGATGTGATGGTGTGCAATTAAAATTAGAAGCATCACATCATCGTTATTGACTCCACCCAGTTAATGAAAAGAAGTACTTGTGGTGATCTCGGGAGAGAGACGGAGAATCTCAATTGCTGCGAATGGGGTTTGTTCTATCAATTCCAATGATCTCAATTTGCAATCACACTGCTTTTGAGCTGAGGAAAGTGTTGGTGGTGGTGGTGGTGGTGTTTTGATGGAAACCAGAAGGATAGGCGGCCTCTCGTGCGATTTTCATGATCTTCATTCATTGTCTGCTTTTTCCCAATTTCCACTGGGTGTTTTCTATACGATCACCCTACTTCTTTCTTAACCACGATCTTGGTAGCGATCTCACCTTCAATCGGAATCCACACGGTAATTCAATTGCGAATAGAGTCGGAAGAAATGACTGTGAGAATTTCACATGAGGCTGTATTGAAAGTGTGACGTCAATGTTAATTGTGTGGGATGTCTCTTTGCCTATTTTGTACATAAAAGTCGTTTGTTTTTGTTCTTTTCTCCCCTCTCCCAACTCGAT